GTTACTTATACCCATGTTGCTAAGAGCTGTCTCAAACCCAAACAAGATGCAAAGACAGAATTCAAGAACTCCTCACTGGGTTCAAAGGGGTAAATATGGAAATTAATTAAAGATGCCTACAATAAGAAACCATGTTGTTCTAAATTGCCAAAGGCTAAAAAGTAAGCGTTAAAATATAGATCACAATCTAATCTCTTTCAACAAATATACATTTTAATTAAAGTTATTTAATCTTACCATGCCCTAAGCCTGTACTAAGAACCATCAAATTATCATTTAATTCTGAGCTCTCAGTGTGTTTTAGCTGTATTTATCCAGATTAAAGTGCTTACGGGCTAAATAAAGAAATCCAAGTTACAATGAATTCCTCTTGGGCTGGGATATAGCTCAGAGGCAGAGCGCCTGCCTGGCAAGCGTGAGAGGCCCTGAGTTTGATCCCCAGTGCCAAAAAAGAAAATAGTAAAAACAGAAATGAATTCCTTCCCCTGGGTAAAACGTGTGGAATTAGACTCTTCTGATTGCCAGCAGAGCCCTGAAGTACACGCAATTCATTCAGGAGTTCTCCCAAAGCCACTGAGCCAGTGGGCAATCCCCGTATCAGTCAGCATTTCTGTGGCTGGGAGAGGCTACTAACCTAAGGGAAACAGAGGCTTAATTCAGCTCACGCTTTAAGAGGACTCAGTTCACGGTTTGTCCAAGGTTGAAACCTCCTGGAGGAAGGGTGTGCTGGAGCAAAGCGGCTTAGTTTCTGGGAGCCAGGAAGCAGAGTGGGGGACAGCACCAGAGAGGAAGGGGAATGGGGCCAGGGACCCCAGGGCACACCCCCATGACCTGCCCAGACGCCTGCAAGCGTGCTCCCCCAACCCATGGAATTTCCAACCACGTGGGGATTCCTTCAGACAAGAAAAAGCCCAGAAGAAGGGCGGAAAAGGTAAGAGAATAACTGCATTTCCTGACATCGCCCTACCTAGCTTTCCAACTTGAGACTGGAATAGTTCAGTTTCTCTCCCCTCATCCCACCATCCCGAGGATTAAGGGTCACATCACCCACACAGCCCTTTCTTATACCTTGACCATAACCTGATTAGGGGTCCACCTAGCACACAACTGTACTTCCTAAATTCAGAGCTGTTTCATTGGTACCTTTTATTTCTCAATCTATAAACACAAAACTATTTAAACATTTTTTAAAACAAATGAAAAGGAAAAATAAGTACAAATTAATTCTACCAAATTTTATAGTATACAGCTAGGGTTAAATATATATATATATATATATATATATATATATATAACCAATTTACATAAATCAAAAAGAAGAGAAATCCAGATATAAACTATGTAGATATTTTTACTACATGGTAAAGGTGATATTTTAAATTAAACAAGTTACAATCAATTAATTAACCAACTGAGATACCTGCCTAAAGGTACTGGGGAAAATATTCCCTATCATTTACCAAAGTAAATTCTAGATGAATTAAAGATAAATACATTCTTCACAAGCTCACAAAAGCCTTAAGAAAATTTGTGATTTTTTCCCTATAGTAACAGAAAAGACTTTAAGAATACACAGAAGTTCACATTTTTAGGTAAAATATTAATGCATTTGGCTAAATAATAGAATAATCACTAAGAAAATTATATAAAATTTAAAAATCACAGGGCTATTGCTTGCTGGTGTAGTACAAATATCAGCAGGTCAGTGGTTAGAATCTGAATATTGAAAAACACTTACTAATCAATAAAAATGACAAATATTCTAAAAGAAACAGGCAATTCACAAAAGGGAGAAAAACGGCAAAATAAAAGAATTAAAGGAATAATTCAACATCAGTTTTAAACCTATGTTCCATTTTAGATGATGAGACAGGGTGGGGAGGGCTGCCCTGAATAAATCAGCAAATCTTCTAAGTGTGAATTTCCACATCCCAGGCAGGGGCGCAGGCTGAGACTGGAGCGGGATGGTGACCTGGCCCAGACCGCGCGGTCCCTTCAGCTGGACCCCGCTCCAGAACGAGCCGGGGATGTGGCCCACTCTGCCCTCGGGAGGCGGGGAGCTCGCCTCCCACCTTGGCTTCCCATCTGAGGGCCCTCCCTCCTGGTGAGGCCCACAGCCCGCAGGCCTGGTACCTCCTCTCATGCAGCCCTCCCGCCCCATCAGCTCTCTTCGCACACTGAAATGTGAGCCTGCCAAGGCCTGCGCTCGGGTCTCTCCTTCATCACTGCTGTGGCCAGAGGCAGTTCTCAATTTTGTGGAGCTTAACCCTTGTACAATTTTGAAATCTTCTTAAGAAAAAAAAATCCTTAAGACACATTTAAAATTTTCAAATTTCCGAATCTGAGAAATAGGCAGACGTGCTATCATCCAGAAAGATGTAGGCAGGTGAAAAGCACCTCACACTTGGAGCTACTTCATCGTGGGCTCCACTCCTGAAACTGTTTTCCCAGAAAACTTAGACATAACTGATGTACTTCACTAATCCATAAAAAATGCTCGCCTGGTCACCATGCTTTGCAGATTTATGAAGTATAATTTACACGCCATACACACCCCCTCCTCCACAGTGAGCACTGCAGTGGCTCTCACCATACCCGCAGCGCTGAGCAAACACCTGCACAGTCCATTGAGAACCTCTGCACCGCCCATGCTAAGTACTTACCAGGTCTGGTCAGTTGACCCACATCTGAATTGTCTCTACTATTGTTGGATTTTTAAAATTAATTTATTGAAAGAAGACAAACTGGATTTTTACTGAGATGAAGCTCACGTGCTAAGCCACTGCCCTTCTTACTCCCCGGCTGCTGGAAGCAAACACCTGACACCGCAAGTCACAGGACAGCCTTCCTTTCATTCAGCTGCTGGAGGTTTCACCTGCGTCAAGGGCACCCACCGTTCTCGACGACCCCGGGGGAGCCCGTGCTACCGCAGTCCTAATCCAGGCTGCTTCTCTTCAGTCACAGCAAATGCAGCCTCAAACCACCACTCACGGTAAGATCATCTGCACCCAAAGGCCGGGCCTCCTCCCACCGCTACTGTGCCCCGTGTAACACACACAGGCTTGGGTGACCTGCGAATCGAAGGTTTTACATCTAACTGGGCGTGGTGGCTCACACCCATAATCCCAGCATTCGGGAGGTTGAAGCAGGAGAATCAATGTGAGTTCGAGACCAGCCTGGGCTACAAAGTGAGCTCAAGGCCAGCCTAGACTGCACAGAGAGACCCTGTCACAAAAAGACTAAATAAATAAATGAATAAGCAGCCATTCTCTTCACATACCAACCTGGCAACCCAAAGCAGCCCCGTCAGAGACAAACACAGCAGTCAGGGAGACCACAGCAGGGAGGTCCCAGGGACACTTGGGCTATTTACACAGGGAGAGCTTTGTACCTAGAGAGCTTTAGAGGCAGAGAGGGAAAGGGGAATTGAAATGTATAGCTTGTATTCATCCACAAAATGCTTTCCGGGATAAAGTAATTACTATGCTTGGAAGATGGTATTATCCTTAAAACAGTTCACCAAAGAATGTAAACACTAGGAAAAGAAAAATGTATGTAAATATTTCAATACTAAGCTTACTGAGGGATGGTGGGCTTCAGACACACTACCTTCGTTATCTCCCTGGCTTTTATCAGGACTGCAAGTCGCTAACATGTGAGTGTACTTTTCTTGGTGAACTCTGTGTTTTAGCTCTACTAGGATACAGAGTTTGGGTTTTGCCAATTTTGGAAAGTCACATTTTTGTGACGTCATCTGAGCCTGTCTGAGAGCACAGGGCGTATTAATGGCACAAAGCATTTCGGGGTGTCCCTGGGTCCTTGCCAGGGTGATACTTAGAGGTCAGGACAGGAGGCAGAGAAAGGGCCATGCCAAGCAAGGCCAGCTGAGATGGCTGAGGAACGCACCTTGCAGGACCAGTCTTGTCCCCAGACACCACTGTCCCCAGGGACTGCAGGAACAGAGACAGCTCCCGCTGTGCAGGGACCCTGAGCTCACTGGAGGACACTGAGCAGGGTCTTATTCTGTCCAACAGCACCCAGTGATTAACGGGGGGGGGGGGGGGGGAAATGGGACCAAGGATGGGGGAGGTGCCCACTGGAGGAGCCCGGGCCCGAACCCTCCCGTAGGACCTGGGTCCTGGGGCACTGGGGCGGCAGTGCTGTGCCAACACGAAAGTGCAAAGACCCTGCTGTTAGAAAAAGAGGTGAAAACCCATGTCCTTCCTCCAAACACTTCACAGCACCTGGTTTTAGAACTCCCCTAACTCTGGGTGCAGGGGCCTTTGGTGTCACAGGTCAGCTCTATGAGGATTCAGCCTGCTTCGGGAGGCCGGGCCCGGGGCCTGGCCACCCATCCTAAGTGGCATTGCTGAGGGAAAAGCTGCAAGTCTACAGCAGTTGGTAGTTTGGAATGCAAGGAGAGAGCCTTCCAAAGGATGCCCACTAGTGGACAGTTCCAGGAGTGCAGTCCCAAGCTCAGGATGTAATCTATATGCGTGGATGTCCACCGGACAGACCAACTCTCCGCCCTACAGCAGTGACGTCAACCTCTTAGCGCGTTCAGCAATAACCAGCTGCCACCAGTCCACGGCCACCAGTGACAGGAAAAAAACTCAGCTGGCATCGAGGCACCTGGACGGAACTGCGTTGTGCGTCTGCATAGGCGACGCCCCCACCTGATGCTGACCCTTTAAATGGCATCAGGTACAACACAATGTCTTCAGACACAGAGAAAATCACTTCCAACGTTCTTTATGCAAATATTTTATATCATTCTGAAAAATACAATCAAGCTCTAATGCACGTTAGGGCCATCTGGGCGACCTGGAACACCTATAAACAACTCCTGTGAAAGGTAGAAGCATCGGGAGGAAGAAAAGCTCTGCCGAGTCAACGGGACTTTCAAAACTTGCATCCCCAAAGTTACTGCTATTTCTCAGCCAGGCCAAATTATTGCTCAAAACTGCGCAAACAGAATAAAGACTTTTTAAAGCAAACTCTTTTTGTATGTTAAAAGTGAAATTTATTACAATACAGTGTCAAGTGTCATGATTGAAAATGCTGGTTAAAGTTATAAAGTATCTAAGTATTTTTTCTAATGTAAATACTGGGACTACAATCTGACCGATTCCATATGTAAACAGAACACTGAGAACTGGAGATCATGCACAGCCCACGCAGCATCTCGGTCTCCCCCAGGAGCTACCCTCTTCTGTCCGGAAGGGAAGCAGCGCTGGCCTTGGGGCGTGGACCTCAGGGCGGGAGTGTCCCAAACACACAGCCCAGGCGGCACATCAGTGCTCTCCAACCATCGTAATGGATCAAGTGGTTCCATGTCTCACGTTTCCTTTCCTCAACAGGTCTTGGGTAAAAGGATGAGCCAAAAAAGCCATGATTACGGGATTCCACGTGACGTTGCATTGCTAATGCTTCAGTTACAAGTGGCTTAAAGTCCCATAGGAAGGGTAAGCAGCACACCGAGGGGTCGGTACAGCTGAGGCCCCGCCCTCTGCAGCTCCCAGACCTCTCCTCCTTTTAGGAAGCAGCAGTCAGAGCCATCAAGAGCCCTGCTGAAAGCAAGGCAGGGGTGGGGTGCTTACAAAAGGGAGTGACAAAGGACACCCCACTTCCAGCCCTAGCCTTCTTCCCCACCCCGCAGGGCTCCGGGTCACCAGCCGAGGACACCTGCCAAGACGCTCCAAGCATGTGCCCCTCACGGGCTCCACAGGGATCTGAACTCACTTGGGCAGTGGGACATTCTCTTACAAAGGGGCAAGCAGTTGCTGTTGGGGTGCAGTGGTCGAGCCAAAGGAGGGCAGGGAAGTCGGGGCGATGCTTAGTCCAAGGCAAAGCTTCTCAAGCATTAATGTGTACACAAGACCCATGGACACCCACAAAAACACACTGGGGCAGGGCGGGGCCTTCAGGTCTCCGTTGCTAATAAGGCCCAAGGTGCTGCTGCCACCCGTGATCTCCTGATCCCATTTGAAGAAGGGCGGCCAAGGACACCTGGGAAGCCGACTCTGTCTCCTCTCTCTGGGCCTTAGGAGCCTTGCCCAAGTGAGCAGCTGTCCACACACCGTCCATATGCATTTCTGAGCACACTGTGCCCACGTGAACAGCCGGCCAAATGCTGCAATCCAATTCTGCTTGCTGAAAGGAAAGCTAATCCCTTACTTACAAAGTCTGCCCGAAGTGACATGATAGAAAAGTATAAAAACTCAGCATATAAACACCATAGTAAAAGGGCAGGTGTGCACGTGTACATCCGGACAGAGTCTACAGAACCCCACGCCCCCAGCTACCACTGCTCCCAGCTAAAGTCATCTCCTCTTCCAAAGATGAGGAAGAAACCTTGGATAGTCAGGAAGATGACTGCGTTGCCCGCCAGCACAAGGCCGCAGGCTCCCCACTTGATCTGAAAAACAAGAACAGAAGGGTTAGATGCTTGCCCCCTCCTCCTGCATTAGAAGCCGCCAATGACATATCACACGAAGCTGCTAAAAGGCTGAGCCACCTCACAGGGGGGCAGGGAGCCACTCAGTCGGGCTTTAACTGCCTCTGCACTCCTTAATTAAGCCTGCTGTCGGCATGAGTGCTGTCCCCAGTAAGCACCGTTCTCCGCCTGCTTCCACCTGACAATGACAGCTTTACGAATGGAAAAATCCAGACTGATCCGTTACAACCCTGGATACTGCAAATTCTGCACACATCAACTTCCTTCACGGAAAACAGAAACTGGGGGATTGCAGATGTGTTTGTTTCCTCTCTAGGCAAGCAAAACCTTTAAATAATAATCTGTATCCCAGGGGAGGCTGCTTTGCACCCTGGCGGACTGGGCCAGAGGCTCAACTGGGGGGAAGAGCGCCCCCTTGTGGGAACTTTTGTTAGCTTTGGTTTAACCAATAGAAGACTGGAGAAACTTCTTTCCCAAACACAAGGCAGTGTTGAACGGGAAAACTGAGAATTCTGACAGCAAACCTTCAGAAATGATAGTCTAGGGCTCAAGAAGAATAAGGATAATCATTTATTCAAAATCTTTCAGCATCTGCAAAGTTCAAACCGGCAAGGCATTGAAGATGCTTGTGCCTCAGGCCTGGACCACACAGGTTCAGGGGAAAGCTTCTTGTGCCCTGGGAGTGGGGGCAGAATCTGACACTAGATGCTCCAAAGCTATGTGAACAGCAAACTAACGAGCTGTGCACATATTTGCCGGAGGAAAAGTTTCATGAAATTGAAATACAGAATAAAAGCAAAGGGTAAGAAAGACAGTAAACATCAAAGCATTAAACTCCATGCATGGTGTGTGTTTGGAGATAAAGAAACACCCCGAGGGGTGGGTGTCCCTGGCCGTGGATGTCATCCTATTCAGTGTCTTCAAGCAGAGGAAGACACCATGTCCCTCTCCACACACATGCTGCATGGGGAATTCATCCCAGACTCCCATTTGTAAAGGCCTGGAAGCATCTGCATTTTGCAATCAGGAAGGTACTGTGACCTGTGGATCTGCCCGATGGTTTCCAAGGCAGGGACTGAGAGAGCCCAGGGAAGAGCGGCAAGAAGGAAAAGCAACAAACCCTACAGGCTGGCGGAAACCAAGCAAGCAGGGGACAGCACTGCTGAGAAGAGGCGACCACAGCGGTGGCCGGGAAGAAAGAAGCTCAAACCCGTGCAGCGAGGAAGACACTAGCTCATGGAACTTACCACAGCCACTCGAGCAAGGATAACAGGAAAGCCAAAGGCAGAAACCACGATCCCGGTGGTGAAGAAATAGGCCAGCTCCAGACAGGCGCTGCTGGCCGCGTCCGAGTCGTAGGAGACCCTCTTGGCGATGAAATAGGGCAGGGGCGAGATGGCATGGAAGAGCAGCACGAACAGGGGCCAGTACACGCTGCGGGCACCAGGGAGCACAGTCAGGCCAAGACATTCTCTTGTTTTAAAAGCATTATTTCCAACGGGTATTAAAACACAAGACCTTTCTGCCAGGGCAACAGTGAGGATTCAAAGGGGTACGTGGCTCGTTAAGAAACAACTGCAGAAGGTATGATCTGCAAACATTACTGCTTTCTGTGTCACTGAGCTGCAATTTGATTAAGGACAGAGTATCGCTGGGTGCAGTGGTGCATGCCTGCAACCCCAGCACATGGGAAGCTGAGGCAGGAGGATTGCTGTGAGTTTGAGGCCATCCTGGGCTACACAGTGAGACCCTGTCTCAAAAAATCCCAAAACAAAAAAAAGGGACAAAGTCTAAATCATCTCTGTGGAATGCAGCAGGCTGGCTATGCTACGACAATAAAGATCTTCTGAGTGTGCAAGCCTGAAAGTCATCAGTGCTTTAAAACCAAGCCCAAATCTCTGCCAGGGGCTAAGAAGCCTCACAGGGTCTCTCGCTCTTCTTTCTGGACCTGTGGCCACAGCTGAGCAACTCGCCTGCGCCTGGGTCCCCCTCCATTTCAGACTCCTGACTCCTAACAGGGCTTTGCCTGCGTCAATCTTCACTTCACTTCCCTCCAGGGCCGAGAGGGGGCGCTCCACACACGCTTGTTTAATGACTGAAACACAGGAGCGCATTTAACAAGGAACAGGAAAACAGATGTGCTGGCCAGGTAAAACTTCAGGCAGGCTCCCCACAGTGCTGTGAAAGCGACGCGAGGGTCCTTCTTCCAGCTTTCCTTATTTCACGTTTATTAAAACCTGTCCTCTGACCCCCGCCTGCATCTTTGTGAGCACCAGCATCTCTGTCCCCATCCGTGAGACACTGACAGTGCGTCACTCCTTGTTTAGAACACAAAATGGGGCACACGGGCGCCCCAGGTCCACACCTGAGGGAGCTGGCAAAGCCACCCGAGCAGGCACCATCCAGGAGAGCTGAGAGGGACCAAATGCAAAAAGGGATAGGGCCCTGGACGGCAGTGAGGAGCTCGGACTCTGGCCTCTGAGACTAGCTGGAGGCCAGTGTGTTTCCAACCACCAAGCAGTCCGGCTGCCGGGACCCAGGGCTAGGAGCTCTCCAGTGCAAGGTTCGCATTTTCCCGGGGAGGAAACAAGACTCAGAGGGAAGAGACTTGGTGTGGGTGGATGCAGCTGTCACCTGACCCAGGCTCAGCCTGGAGCTGCTGGCTCCTGAAAAAAAAAACCCAAGACCATCTGCACGCTCAGGAAACCTCCGAGACCCAATTGAGAGCTGCTCTGTGGGAGCAAGCTTGCTTAGACACAAAACGGAAACATTAAACACTGCTCAGTAAACACACAGCCAAGAATCGGAAAACCCCGAGAAGGCCAAAAACAACATTTGGACTTCAGAGCACAGGGTCTGCCTCTCTCTACTCCCCGGGTCGCTGCAGTGCAAGAGCGTGGGGGGAGGGGGTAGGGCAGCGGGTAGACGCTCCTCACCATCACCCCCAGGCAGCTGCTCTGCCGCACTGGTTTCCAAGGCAAATGACAATCTTGGGTCACTATCTCGGAGACACACAATGAGCTTATCCCCAGCAGGGCTGGGTCACCTCCTCGACTCTGGATGCCACAGCCCAGCATCACCCTTACAGCACCTGGGTTCGGAATCGGTCTCAGAATCACTGAAAACCTCAGCCAAGGAACAGCCCAGGCCCACTCCGCCTCCCTCCTGCTAGGCAGCCGGCCACTATGTCCTGGCCAGTGCACTCAGCTGATTCTGGAAGGTGTCCAGAACTCCACCTGGCCGGGGCTGACCACATTCAGTTTGCCTTGCTCTCCTCACCTTGAGTAGTAAAATCTAACCCTCAAAGACAGCCTCCCGACCTGAGGGAGCCCGTGTGTGTGTGTGTGTGTGTGTGTGTGTGCGCGTGTGTGTGCGTGTGTGTGTGTGTGTGTGTGTGTGTGTGTCTGTGTGTGTCTGTGTGTCTGTGTGTCTGTGTATCTGAAGTTACAGGGCTCACAGCCAAGGGTGCTCCACCACTGGGTGAGCCTCGGCCCTTTTATTTTTGGACATGGTCTTGCAAAGCTGGCCAAGGAGACCCTGAACTTGTGATCCTCCTGCCTCAGCCTCCTTAATTAAATGCTCAGTTCCAGGTACAGCACACACAATGTACCCCACTCCAGTTCTCCTTTTGCAAGGTATTGAAACAGAAAGCTGTTGACTGCTCCTTCGTCCCCTCACCCGTCACCCAGAGAAACTTCCCCACTTTCAAGTCTTGGGTCAAGCAGGCCTCTGCGGGCAGTGCTCCCTGCCTGACTGCCCAGCAGAGTCCTGGGCTTTCTCCTGCTCCAGCACAGCTGGGATCCTTCTGATCCTACCATTTCCTGCCCTTCACTCCAGCTTCTCTGAGGATCCACTCTGGTTTCTATTCCCAGCTGGCCCAGAGCAGGAGCTTAATTAAATAGATAGCATGGATTCTAAAAAGCTTTGCCCCAAGGGGCCAGATTCCTAGCCAGAGCTCTGCTGGCTCATTGATTAGCACTTGGTACTAAACTGACCCAGCTCAACCACTGGGGCCCACAGTGACACAGACACAACAGACAAGATGTAACTTACCCATAATCCTCCAGGGCACATCCCAGCATCAGAAAGGTCAGCCCGATTGCCCCGCTGAAGGACAGCGCCACCAGAGCTGTGCAGAACAAAACAAGGGTTGAAGGTCCCAGGGCCACGTTGTGGGAAGGATCCAGGAAAGGAGTGATCACTAATGGGACAGAGTCGGTATGGGGGCGCAGATTCCTTTGGGACTAGACAGATGTGATGATCGTGCAACCTCACAAATATGCGACAAACTGGAATTTTATGTGAAAACAGCTCAATTTTACAGTACATGAATATATCTCAGTGAACAATTTTGCTTAACAGGGAATAAAATGTCCCACATGTAAGCACATGTCATATTTTACTTATTTTGTTAACTGACTTCACATTTTATAGAACGTGTGCCTGCGTACCCTGTCACTCACACGCAGGAGCCCTCACTCAGGATGGGAAACAATCAGAAAGTCTGCAGAGGAGTCAGGGTTAGACCTCCACACTGGCCTGGCTCAGTGTCCCTCCACTCCCCTCCCTCACCTCTCCACCCCTGCAGGCCACCCACTGCAGACCAGAAAGCAGACCCCGCCAGAACTGGATCTGCTCACACCCTGACCCAGGCTGTCTAGCTCCACACCCATGAGAAATAAATGACTACGCCAGCACTACGCCAGCCTATCTGATTACAACCCAGCGCACCCATCGCTTTGTTTGTGTGGCACCAAGGCCTCTGCCCTGAGCTGCAAGCCCAGTCTTTTGTGATCATTTTGTTTTGAGACAGAGCCTCACTAAGTTGCTAAGTTGACCAGGCTGGGCTCAAATTTGAGATCCTCCTGCCCTTGCCTCAGGCTTCCAGGGTGCTGGAATTATAAACCTGCACCACCGTGCCTAGCTGTGTCCATCACTTTAAAATCAAAACTGGAGAAGTGACTCAAGCAACTGCACACCTGCTGCACGAATCCCCTCCATCTGTCACTAGAAGCCAGCAAGCCAATCTGCACAAGCTCCCAGTGCGGGAAACTCACTCCCACCTGCAGGCTTCTGTGTGACGCCCTGGACAAAGTTTACTCAGTAAACACTGACCCATGCAGATGTCTGCTGATTTTCTGCTTGTTCTTTGCTAAAAAGTATAAATCAGAAGAATCAAAAGTACCGAACAGCACACAACCCAGATTCTCTTACCAGTAATCCTCAGCATGATCTTTTCATTGCTTTTTTATTACTTTTAGAGGAGATTTAAAGAGAAAATGGCATGGTATTTTTCTAGAAAACACCTGGAAGTGCACAGACATTACAGAACAAAGAAGCGCTGTCCATTTTCATTTGTACCTTTTCACACTCGGTACACCCACCTTTTAGTGTGAGACAGGCTGTCACTATGTAGCTCAGGCTGGCCTCAAACTCAGAATGCTCCTGCCTCAGCATCCCAAGTGCCATCATGCCAGGTCACTTTTCACTGGGACACAGGACAGGAAAGGAAAGTAACTTTGCACATGGTACTTCACTAGATGACCTTTTCATAGCCGGCTCTGCTTCCTCTGAGCCTGACCATCTACAACACTTCTTCCCTGAGACCTGGCTGGGAACCACAGACCTCCTCCTTCTGTTCTCACACCAGGCTCTCAAAGTCACAACCATTTTTCTGCCTGATTCTTTTGAGCCCTTCTTAACATTGGGGTTGACTGAGGATCCAACCACACTTTTGCTGAGAATCTGCCAACTCCAAACCCCTGGTACAGGGCCCAGCCACAGGCAGGACTGCAGGCCACAGCAGGTCCTGAGAGCCAGGCCTACACTTCCACCAATCCATAGGACTTCTCTGCCTGTGTGGTAATCACATCCCCACCCATCCCTCCCAAACAGCACTGCAGGTCTTCCTCAGGGCACAACAGCCACAGAGCACAAGTTGAGGTGGCGCAGTGACCCCGACCTTGTTCAAACCATCCATCCTCTTTGCTTGAACTCTCTGCTACAGCCCAAGCCAAGATCCTTACCATTGTTTGCCTGGCACCATTGTGACTCTTCCAATGAATCCCCAATCACAGGTGTAGATGTACACTGGCCGGTGCCGACACTTCGTAACTGCTTATACAGATAACAAGTTATCTGTATACCTGGCACCTGACACTCACCAGCCTGACTCCTACCTGCTCTCCCAGCTTTAACCCTCCCCCTTGCAACTTCCTACAAAGACTGAGGCGTGTGTTCTTTCATGTGGCCCCACGTCGCAAGCTGGTCTTCCCACTGGGAATATACTGCACCCTTGCTCTGTCCCTCAGCAGGAGAAACCTCATGGGTCCCTGCATTCAGCCACTGCCTCTCCTATGAAAAGAATCCTCTTCCTCCCTGGAGCAGGGTTACAAAGCCTATATTTATTTGTTTCCCAAGGCTAAGGCTGCAGTTACCAAGTGCTACTACTAGCTGGTGACTCAGAACAGAAACCGATTCCTGCAGCATTCTGGAGGTGACACTTCTGAAATCAAGGTGTTGGCGGGGCCAGGCTCCCCCCAAAGGCTGCAAGGACACAAGCTTCCTCATCCCTTCTTGACACAGCTGTCACTGGCCATCTCTGGTTCCCCCTGCTGCCTGCGTCCCCTTAGGTCTCCATGTCTAAATTTTCCTCTTCCTAGAAGGATACGGCTCCTTGGACCAGTGCCCACCCTAAGCAAGTGTGATCTTAACTTGGTTACACACCCCACACACACAGCAATGCAGTTCTTTCCTGATGTCACTCAACAGTAACTCATAACTCTCATTATCATCGGATCCCAAGTATCCAACATAAAGAAGCTCTCAATAAAAGCAGAACTAACTGCAAAATGCTTCCGTCTCTTAATCCTTTTCCATGTCATGGCCCATTTGCCTTGCTTCTACTTCTCGATTTCTCACACACCACACCCCATACTGTTACAGTGTGCCAGTCTCTGGCCGTGACTACAGCTGTGTCCTACTGAGACACCTGTCTTCTGGCTCCTGCAGGGGCTTCACGGGGACGTTTTACACACTGAACACTGTCCAAGTAAACCATGCTTATTCAACTGATACTGAAGGTGAAAGTTGGCCAGCAAAGATAAGACCCTGTCCGCTGCTAACACCTCACAACTCAGATAACTAAATGCACAGACAGCGTCCACGGCCCGCGCATAAGGAATCTCACACCCTGTCAGCGGATGCTGATTCCCTGAGGGTTGAGCTCTGCATAAACAGCAAGAACTTCAGAAACGCCGCCCCGGCAACAAGCCATGCTACAAACAACAGACAGCCTCGCAGTCACCACTTCCCGGACTCCAACCAGAACCCTCGAAGGCCCAGAAGGGTGGTTCCTGGTCCCTTCTGCGTCACCTGCCCCATTCAAAGACACCTAAGAGAGAGAGTGACGCTGAGTCCAGCCAGGGCGGGCTCGGATTCGCTGTCCACACCCGCCCGCAGCCGAGCCGGCCCACATGGTACGCCAAGCACGCTGTAGACAAAGGGTCCTCAAAGTGCGGGGATGGGGCGGGGTTGGCGGAGCAGGAACGGACGTGCAGGATGTGGAACTCGGAGCCGGGCTGGGGCCCGGACCATGCTCTGAGTCCTTGGGGTCTCGAAAAGGCTCCGCCTGGGTCCAGGGCACCAAATCTGGGGAGGAACCGCAGGGCCCGACATGGTCCTCTGCCGCTCTGGGGCGAGGAGGGCGAGAGGGTCGGGAAACCTTCACCGCAGAAGGAACGGGCGGGGGCCTGCAACCACTTGCCAGCATCGGGGTGCAGAGATACCTTTGACACCCGCCATGGCTCCCGCGCCGGGCCGCAGCTGCTTCCGGCTTCTCCCCGCGCCGGACAGGCCTGCCCCGCCCCGACATGCGGGGCCACGCCCCCTACCCCTGAAACACCACCCCTACTGGCCCTGAGTTCTGTCACTCTGACCCCGCCCAAGGAATTCACTCTGGTTCCCAGAGCCCTGCCCCTACCAATTCTGCTCCTTGCCCTCGAAGGCCCGCCTCCGCGGTCCATAGCTCCGCCTCCGAACCGTGGAGCGGAACCCGCAGCACCGCCCCGCCACGCAGAGTACTGCCGTACTGGTTGTCATCTCTGCCACTCAGACGTGTCACCCGCTCCTACAGCCCACCTCTGTCAAGCTTGATCTCGCCTCCTGCACGTAGACCCCGCCCCTACTGCCTCGAACCCCCCACTCCCTTCCCCTGGAGCCTGAACCCTAGTTCTAACTCCTCGGGGCGTTGCCCTGCCTCGATACGCGGAATCTCGCCCTTGCAGATCCTCACCCCGGCACTCAGAGCCCCGCCCCTGCACGCCCACATCCCCGCCCCCTGCTCCCAAGCCCCGCTCCCGTCAACTCCTAGCCTCCAACTCAATCCTATAGTCCCGCCCCCATCCCGCAGAGTACCGCCCCCAACGGCCCATCACCCGACTCCTGCTCGCAGAATCCATCCCCCAGCCTACAATCCAATCCCTGACGCGTTGAGCCCGCCCCATCAGTTCACGACCCCGCCCCTATTCGCAGAGTCCCGCCCCCCCACGAGCATAACCCCGCCCAGTTCTCAGAACCCCGCCCCTGCATATAGTTCCACCCCAGTTCTCGGGCCCCGCCCCCACGCAGAACCCCCAGTAGGGGGTCCCCGCCCCCAGGCCGCCCATGCTCGTCCCCGAGCCCTCGTGCACACGCCTAGTGTCTGCGTGCTCGCCGCGTGCTCGCGGCCGCCTCACAGTCTGGACAGAACCAGAACCGGAACCAGAACCCGAGCCGGTTGTAGACGGAAATGCGTTCTGGGCCTCCGCAGCTCAGAGCGCGGAACGCGGCCCCCGGGCAGCTCTGAAACACAGCTGCGGGCGCCAGGCCTGCTTCCGCGGGCGACCCCATCTGGCCCGGGTTGCCGCGCGCGGACACGGATAGCGGCGTCTGCTTTCCGCTTCCCCAGCACGCAGGGAGGAAGCTGCCCCGAACACGGCTTTGCCGTGCTCCGCCTTCGCGTGCCGCGTTTCCGGGGGAATAAAACTCCCAGGAAGGGGAGAGAAACGTCAGCATCTCTTTCCACGAACAGAAGAATTAATGGGGAGCAACAAAACCCAGCTCAGTGCCCAGTTACTGTCAGTACCTGGAATCCCCCAGAGATCGGGCCCCCAAACGCAGGAGTTATAATTAGAAATAATTAGTAAAACGAAGAAAAAAGAAAAATTATAAATTTGTATATATACAAAAGATAGCTAAAATGATTGTACTACTAATTCTGCTCTTAGAACAAAATAGTTAACACTCATAGGATTGGATCAATTCTGCATGTCTTATCTGGTAATCTGAGTAAGTTTTGAAGATAATTATAAAAATAACAATTTCTGCTAAGTCCCTGCCACCTTGTTTTGAAACCCTATATTGTTATCCTTTGAGGTTTTTCTTGTTTCTTGTTTTTTTGTTTCATTTTTTCCCTTTTTAAAATAAAAAGTAAATAATAGTAACATCGGTGTGTAGCGGGAAATTCAAAGCTGTCTGCCGATTCCCTTGTGTGGCAGTGTGTCTCACACAGGCCACACAAAAGACCGGTTGACTATAGAGGGGACACAAGTCCTTCTCCACCCACATGAAGGATCACAGCTAAAGACCAGAGTAACCCTAACAAGCGAATCTGATCGTCGTCACATGACAGGGAGTTTTGAGACTGAAGACCCAAAGGCTAACCATGGAGTCTTCACTTTTATGCTTTGGTTCCATAAAGCCGGCACAGCCATCTAGGGGGATGATGGGCAAACTCCCAGGGTCCGTGTCCAGCCTTGGCCTCAACATGTGGCCTTCCCGGGCCTCTGTTGGAGACAGTGATCTAGTGATCCTCTAGCAGACAGGGTCAGTCAGAGAATTTCCTCCTGGCCAGAAGAGGAGGAGGAAAGTCAGATACTCAGAGATTTAAAGGGATGGCTTTTGTGGAAGGGTCTGATTCCTGGGACGCTTGGGCAGGGGAATTTGGGCTTCTCTAAATCCCAGATCTGCTCAGCTTCCCCACACTACCATCTTTGAAGTAGATCTTACAAAACCTGCTTCCAGAATATCTTTGTGAATTAAATGAGAAAAATCTTGCACACACATCAGGCTGGGGCTGCACACCAGAGCCCACATGTCACATCTGACTGTGGCAGGCTCTTGGGTGCTGATAAACGGGAAATGCAATTGTGATCCAGCACTAACTGAAGTCAGAAATGTTAGTTTTCCTTCCTAACTCTGGCCCAGCACTTATCTGGACAGCCGTTGCCCTCATAGCTGCACTCCACGGGCTGCACACAGATCTCTGAGCCAGGATGTGGGTCCCTCTTGGCCCTCTTCCCAGTTCGGTATCTATCACTGCCACCTGTGGGTCACCATTCCAGCCCCAGAACACACCTGCCGTGGTATCAAATCTTAGCAGCAGTAATGATAAGATTTATTGAGGTCCCACGTGATAAGAATTTGCAAATATTGTCTTAGGGCTGTGAGAGTTTATGACAAAATCGTCCAATCTAATGGTCTATAACTGGAAAATTCCAGACTCAAACCCCAGTCTTCCAGTCTCAAAGCAACATACAAGGGCTGATCAGAACACATAGTGAATGTTCAAACTCTTCAAAAGGACGTCATGAATCTCCTCTTTTTGAACACACCATCACTGTCCTTGCTACTTCCTGCGGCAGCTCTGGAGTCCTGAGTCTTCATGAGCTGTGATCAAAAACACAGCAAACACTGCTGCCACGTGCCATCCAACAGAGAGGCTCTCATAAAACACGCACACACTGTGTCCTCCTCCACCTCCTCACTGGATCGGGCACCGTGTGACTCCTGGCCTTCCCCAGTGTCACAATGACCATGAAAGGAAAATGTGTTGCATCAATCTGGGACATGGAGGATGCTAAGAAAGCACAACTAAAGACCCTCACAAAAGAGGACCCCAGAGCTGCTGCAGAAAGTGGCAAGAACGGAACAAGTGAGTATGAAGAGGGGGGATTCTAAGGGGAACAAGTGACACCGTGTCTCTACTGACACTAGGGTGCCCAAAGGCCACAGCTGATCTTAGCCCCATCAAAGCCTGTTTATTTGACCTCTATTCCCTGGTTAATGTCTCTAAGAGGGACACTGACCCGCTGCTGTGGAAACTGTTTCCAAGGTTCAACTTCTGTGTTTGTCCACTCCATGATGGTGTTTCTTCAGTGGTGCCAGGGTCCAACCTGCGGATCCTTCCAGGACACAGCGCTGCCCATGACAGCATCACTTTGCAAATGAACATATGCTCTTGTCCTCGGAGAACTACAATACTGTAGTTGGTTTCTTCTCAGAAAAAATCCAGACTCCACAATCAATCCTTCCGTCTCAGCATTTCTGAAAATCCTCTAATGTGCTAGAAGACCTATAAGCTTCTGTGCTGGTTCTTTTTGAGCTATGGTACTGGTGATCACAATGTGTGTGTTGTATGACAGGGAAGGGATACTTAAAGTATAAATCCAGAAGTCCTGTCTGATTATATTTTGGTGCAAAAATACACACTTTTCATATACTTTTCCCAAAAAGTTCCTTGCAGGTAGATCATCTCAGAATTCAGATATAGCTTTGCTTTCTTACAAGTGCAAAAAATAACAAGTTTCTGAAAATATTTTTGAGCCTTTTAATATACATTACAAATATTTTAGACCAATCACATTTTGTAGTGTATAACATATTTACAAAACAAAAATATATTACAATAAATATGAATGAAATAGTGACTGATCAACAACAAGCTCTGTCACAATCAGATAATTAAAAGGAATGCAAAAACCTGTTGGCCTGCATAAGTTAAGAGTTTTGAAATAAATAGGGGTCCAGAATTATACTGTATCTGGAAAAAATTTAAGTTAAATAAGACTCTCGTTGCTAATAACAGGGGGTTTAATGCTGCTTTTAAACTGCAGATGTTAATGAGTTATCCAACATGATACAAAGCTACCAGACTTCAAAGCTAACGGACTTCTATCATTTCAAGATGTACGTAAGATCCACGCAGTGCCTTTTAATTATCATTATACACTGTAGCTCACATGGTATCTACAAATGTGAATGAGAAAAAAGACAGCAGGTCACAGCAACATGTCTCACATTCCAGTTTTAAATAAGACAAGCACATAGTGGGTCAAACATTATTTCATAATATGTTAATAAATAACACCTAATTTGTTATGGTTACCTTGAACAGTTTCAGCTGTATATTTTAAAAGAGAACATTTTCTGCAACTTTCACATTGTCAGTAAAAGATAAAATAAATAATAAACCTTTGTAGCCGAAAAATTTCTATATAGAACCTAAAATATTTTGACATGCTGCCCTTCCTTATAGTTTGCTGCAAGAAAATTAAAGCAAACAAAAAGTGATTGTCTTTTAAAAATAACTTTGGAAAGCTTTTCACAAGTTGAGCATGAACCATTTAAGATCGGCATGAAAACCCTTTGCCCATCTGCTCCGTGCATGTGTAAGCTATGTAATGCACACCGTGTCTGTGCTCACTCACAGATCTACTGAGGTCACAGGAGAAAGAACCGCTGGTGCCCAGCGGAGAACCAGCCAGCACACAGAACTAGAATCCAGCAGGCTGAGGCCGGGACCAGCTCCATTCTAGCTCTGCTTTCACAAAGGTCCTCGCGTGAATGTCATCCATATGGGCCTCCAACTCCCTTTAAAACAATAAACACTACTGCAAAACTCAGGGATCCAAATCCACCAGGGGAGGGGGATCTGGTTGCTGCAGGTAAATACTGACACAGCCCCCGAGTGGGCGAGAAGGTGGGAAGGCAGGCACCAAGGTGCGGCCCCTTCCTGTCCCCTTGTGCTATAGCTGGTATTCAACCTACAGAACACCGAGTCCAAATCAGCCTCGGGTTCCAACAGATCGAGAATGAACGGGCCGCCCTGCTTCGTGACCTGCTTCCCGCTGAGCACATGTTCTCGGCAAAGCTAAAGTCAAGCACTTAAACCTTATGGCAAAATCAGAAGTGTCATTCAGACCAGGTGTGAAGCTGCTCTGATAGGAGGACTTCTCTGCTCATCCTCCGCAGTTTCGAAGGGAAAGGCAGGCAGTAGCCTGACAGCCGACCTCTGGCGTTCCTGTGTTCTTGGCAGCCTCTGCATCGAGGGACGCCTGACCCAGGAGGAGCTGCTGGCAGCCCACCCACGCCCTGCAATCCCGTCACTTCTGTGTGTCAGTGCTCTTGCCAAGAGACCCACATAGCATGATGCTACAGGCCATAGGAATTCAAAAATATAAAAATAAAATACTTGGTGGTTGTGTTCCTGAATCTGTGCAAATCCTTCATTCAAATTACATCTCTCCAAGGAAAACTAAAAACTATTCTTTAAAATCATTGGATGGACGATCCTATTGTGGTGACTTTCACTCCTCAATCTCACTCGCAGACAATGAGATGGACGACTCACCTTCATCTTTGGTGGCCGAAATTTTCCATCCACCCACACCCTGCCCACCCTGGCACTCCACTGGGCAGGCTCCCCCAAAGGGCAGGCAGGAATTTCGAGCCCCCAAAGGGTCACCCCACTGAAGTTCCTCTCATGCTCTGGCTCCTCTATGGCTGAAGAGACCAAACATCCACACTCCTTACTGTGAGAAATTAATTTTGTGAGTAACTTAAGTTTAGTACTGAAAATACATTACTGAGTCCTCTGTGCAAACCCGGGATTGTGATACACACTCAGCAGGGCACAGGTCTGCAGAAGAGACAAAGGCGCACGCGTTAATACAGAGGCTTTTGTCCTTGGTTCTCAAACTCAGACCAGGCGTCATTGAGTTCCATGAAAATCATCTTCGCGTACTGTTCATAGGGCTGCCCAGTGGCCTGTGGAAGAAAACGAACACACATTAGAACCCACAGACCCAAGGGACATTCCTATTAATTCACCATTAATGTGGACTCTAGGTCACTGAAAGGCATTTCTGTCGGTTCCTTCGGTCCTACAGCCCCGTCCACTGACACCGATCCATTTCAAGCTTTCAGTGAGTAACAAACTTCCCGCTGTGGCTCCCAGGCCGTCTGTTTGCCTCCACTGGCCAGGTCCATGGGATTTAATGACTCTGGCCTCCCTCTAACGCCATCCACCCAGCAATGCTCCTGGGCATGAGAATCCGTCAATCAGTGGACAACAAGGAACATTGGACAGCAAAGCTCATGTCTCCACCCCCAGAGTCTCTGCCAAATGGCCTAGTCTCCTGGCAGCCTGTCGGCCGTCACTCAATTTTTAAACAGCCGTTTTCCAGTTTCAAAGTTAAGCTCTTTGAGAGTCATGACGGGCAGACAGTTTGTGGAGTTTTCTGGGTTCCTAGCTCTCTCTCGAGTGATCAAAACTCAAGAAATTTGTCTCTCACTAAATCCTCAAGCTTTCCAATCAAACACTGTGAAGGGACAGAAATCAGATCCTCGGAATCCCCCACACACATGCCTCTGTGCACTGATGAAACCTAAGTTGATGGGATCCCAGTAACGGTGGGTTTCATTTCTTTTTTAAAATTCCAGGGATGCCCACCACTCATGCGGCTGCACTCCAGAGCTCGGCCACCACCCTCTCGGCTACACGCAGTGCTGTGTCTCCCAGGGAAAGTCCCCTCATGCAGCCATGAGTCTCCTTGCTCTTCAGCACTGCTTACCTGGAAACCCTAGCAAGGAGCCGTGCTCTCCTGTATCCGTCAGTCCCCGCCCCACTCTGTGCAGTGTGCAGTTTGATTTCCTTTTGCCCATTTCAGGACGTGTAATTGTTCAATTTAAACACCTGACTGTAACCCACAGACTTAAGTTTTGTTAAATAACCTAACAAATAGCAAAATAGACACTGTGGTGTTTCAATACACGCTCAGAAAATCACAGAGAGCTGGGTGTGATGGCACACTCAGCAATCAGTCATCCCAGCACTCAGGAGGCTGAGGCAGGAGGGTTGCTACAAGACACAAAAAGCTAAAATGAACTAATGCAATGAAGAGCACAGCCGTGCTGAGCTGCAGGGGCCATACTCACCTTGTCGGGGTGCACCACCAGCACGGCCCTCCGGTACACCTTCTTCACCTGCTCGGGCGTCACCAGGTCCGCCATGCCTACAGGTTTCCACTTGGTCTCCCCAGCCCACAGCACCGTATGCATGGTGGAAAGCAGGGCTCTGATGTTCCTCTCCTTGCCTTCGATCCACTCCAAGATCTGGAAATGCAGAGGGAGTTGGGAAGCGGAAGTGCTTTCTGCTCCCGAGGACCTTCCCTGGCCTGCAGCACAACTGTCTAGCTCCCTGCAGCCTCCCCACCACCCCTCCACCTGGGTGCTCTGTACCTCCAGAAGCAATTCGGGGGTGCTCCCAGTTCACCCCGGGATTATGATCCCCTCCTCCAAGGCCCCCTGTAGTTCATGATGCTCTCCTCTGTAAAGGCGCGGCTGCCTCTGTTTTGCTCCCTGAACTAAATAAATCTCCTCTTTAAAAAGGCTGAACCGGCCTGGACCCTGCTCCTGTCATGGCAAGAGCCACACTCAGGGTCCCCGTGAGGGGACTTGGCTGCGGAGGGAATGGTGACCTGCTAGACAAAAGCACACCCATCATTAAACTCAGGGACAGAAGCACCCGGGCTGTGGGAGGAGCCGACCATTACACAACGAGATGTAGGAGAGCCAGGTGCGGCTGTCCTGTCCAGTTACTGTCCTCCCTGCCTGGCCTTGACATAGTTGCTTGCCCAACTGCTGCTCCCTGCTTTGTCCTCTCGCCCTGATATGCTAAATAAAGCCACAGCATTCTCAGGTCAGGGCTTTTCCCTTTGGGCGTCTCCCTGACACCGGACCCTATAGGCTGAAGCGGCCCCCACTCTGGGCCCCTCGTGACTGAACTAAGTCAAGTCCCCTGGGCCTCCCAGGGCCGCACACCAAGACACTGGTGCATGCTTGTCAGTTCCAGACTGTTTGGGGAAAGGAAGGAAGACAGCACAGAAGCAGCGCCCTCCCCGTACACCAACACGGGGCAATGGGAAAGTGCTGCTCGGGAAGTCAGAGCCTGGTTGTTTTTGGTCCTCTCCTGAATGCGGTGCGGGCCACAGGACCAGCCGGAAGTGCTCTTTTCAGTGCTCTGTGTGCATCTGGGCAACAATCATCAAGGGACACTGCTTCTGAGCCTTCATTTACATGAAATGGAGCCCAGCAAATCTTTCGGAAGGGCAGTGGCACAAGTGAGTATTAGACAGGATGCCTCTTCCCATGCTTTGCTTCCAGGAAGAGAGAACCTAAGAGACCGTTTTAGCTTGTCCTTGGGGGCCGCTTTGACCCTGTTCCCTGGCCTGCTCTCACCCTGCAGAACTGCTTCTCTTCTGCCTTCAAAAGCTTGTCCTTCTGTTGCCTCTCCTGTGAGTCTTGTCCAAATCTTTGTTCAGGACACCAAGAACTGGGGAAGAAGCCCCAAGGACCCTGCACCCCGAAACAGTGCTGCCTCTTACCTATCACTCCACGTCAGCACCCAGATACTGTACCCAGCATGGAGCAGAGCTCAAAAGAGCTGCATGAATTGATCATTTATTCAAGTTACAAACATTCCTGGACTGAATATCCATGGTTTGAACAAATGAGATGATCGGGTTGAAAAAACCTCAACAATGCACCAGTGTCTAGCTGAGAGCAGAATTCGGCGAGTGGCTGCCTTCAGATGGATAACAGTTCAGCGATGGTTCATCTCGGGGCTCTCCCAGCACCGAATACCCTGGGCCCATCAAACAACCAAATGTGACTTTAAAAAAACCTCTCTTGTACAGAGCCCGCCAGACTGTGTCACAGGATGTAGCAGGAAGTGTTGGGAAAGAATACACATTGGGTCTCTGAGAGGTTACATTCCAAAAGAAGCAGATGAAAACGCAGGGCCTTACATTATATGTTTTAAAAATATTAAAAGCTCTACATATCTACAGCTACTGCCAGGTCTGTCAGGGAGTGACAGGGCAGTGATCATTTTTCTCCACACGTACAAGGCGTCGCGCCGTGGACGTCCGATTTGGGCAGTGCGGTAATGCAGGAACAGGTCCCATTTCTCACACCACCAGCCCATTTCACATTTCATCACACAGGAAACGCAGCCTCCCCATCTGTGAAGAGCGTTGCTCCTTACAGGCCCGTCCACGGCCTTCCACCACTCATGAACATGCCTTCCATCTCCACTTACTCTGCACCCATCTCTACACCGCCCTTATCTAGGACGTAAGGGACTTAGATTCACTGATTTGCAAACATTTTTTAAGATGGAAAAGCATTCTTTTTTTTCCCCACAAACTGACACTCAGCTAGGCATTCAGAATCAAAACTAAATAAAAATAAAATTGCTTTGATTTAAAAGCAGAAAGAGGAGACAGGGTGAGGGGGTGTCGAGCACAGGCTCCCCAAGCCGCCTCCCCACTGCGAGAACCTCCGGCCTCTGGTTAGGAGTGTGATCTCCAGGCACATGAGTATTTCTCTCTGTCCACAGAAAACGCATCCTGGGCTTTCTGTCAAAACAGTCTGATAAAAAGCTTTCGAGGAAGAAGGACACAAACAATGCATTCTCCTCCACACCAAATTCTACTGATTCATCCTCCACATCTGAGTCACAAATTACATCTTCAAAGCGTGCCAGAGAAAAAGAAATTCTATCTAGTATTACCAAACCACGGGCTGAAGCTCATCACAGCGAAGAATTTCAAAAAGAAAAAGCAGCTCAGCAGCACGTGCAACTCTCTCAATGCTGCTTTGCAACACAAGGGCTGTACATGGGTCACAGCTCGGTCCCTTCCCCGTGTGCTCGGGTTGGAAGGACTGTGTCTCCCCTCAAGTTTATTGTTGAGATCCTGATCCCTAGATGGGGAAATCAGGAGCTAGGGCCTCAGGGACCGATTAGACATCCAGTTCACTGCTGGAGACCGGGCTGCATGGGGTCAAGCTGCTGGACTCCAGGGCCTCTGGCTGTGCTGGAAAAGTACACTGTGCTCTAAAGTCAAGATGACACTGCAGCTGAGGCAGCCAAGGACAGGGCTGCTGGCCCCTCAGAGATCAGACAGCGCTCTTAGTTGGCAAGGTTTACTACTTAACTGACTCCTGAGATTCTGCTCGGTTCTGCACTTGCCTCGGTATCCCTTTCCTGTGTTTGAAAAACCAAATAAACACGGCTGCCAGGAGAAGTTCTGGGTCTCGGCCCCCAGAGAACTGTGAATTCTGTAGGGCAGTTCTGATGTCCCTGGAGCCCTAGAACTCACACTATTTGCTGCTTTCATTTAAGCCTCTTGCCATCCACCCTTTAGGGTACCAGGGCTAGGCCAGGACCCCAATAATTAGCCTTGTGCTGATGGCACTGAGCAGCAGTCAGAAGCACCACAGGAACAGGGGAAGCTCCTGGCCCCTGTCCTGCCACCCAGTCAGAGGACTTCTGTCTACTCCAGAGGCACTCAAGGACCCGAGCGCATTTCTGCAGGAGGATGGCAACTCCTCACTTGGTCCTGCAGATGCTCGGTCCCTAAGGAACCCAGAACAAAGCTCGGTCTGCATTTTGGATCTGTCCCCTTTTATATTCTGTAAACTCCAGCTGGACTCCTGCTTGGCTCTGCAGAGAGGAGGTGTGGGTCTAAGCGCTGGCAAACCAAGGTCGTTTAGCTCTGAATTAATCTCGCTTGTCTCCCTGCAAGACTGATGACATCACCATGGGTAACCTGTGGGCCATTCAAGTGTCTGTGAGTGCCCAGAGGCCTCTGGTCATTGCCCTAAATCAGTGGTCACTTTGGGAGATAGCAGAGCCTCCACAAGCCTGGACCCCCCAGCAGAGCAGTGGTCTCACGGACACTGGACGCTCCCAGATAACAAGGGCTTCTCCAGTGCCACCTCACCAGGCCAGAGCTGAAATGCGGCCAGCCACACTCTGGCCCTCAGCTGATCCATGAAGGCCGGTCTCGTCCTTCTGCTCCCCAGCCCAGCTGACCCCTTCACCAGAGCTGCGCACTCTCCCCAACCTGCTTTCCACCACTGTCCATCCCTGCCTGATGAATCTGCCTAAGCCTCATGCTGCCGCCCTTGAAACGATTTCCTGTTCACAGGTGAGCTACCTCTTCTGTCCCGGCCAAGCCACAGCCCTACCCCACAATCCATCCCACAGCGTTTCACAACGGATTGGGGGTTCATTCACCTTCAGCTTCTCCGGGTCCATCTCCTTGGCCATCTCCTCTTTCCTCATCTCAGCTATTGTCCGAGGTCCCTTCTTGTCTTTGTGAGCGTTGAACCCTTGACTGGAAAGTAGGTCTTCAAAGTCAGCTGCTTTCTGTTTGCCTTCTGCAACATAAGTTTTGAAAGTCACTGTCGATTTTATTTTGAAAGATCATCACACCATGGACTCAGAGGGCCTGGAGTTCTCAAGGTGCTTTACAGGCGGCAACCCCCTTTCCCCCTCCTGCTGACGCCACCAGTAAGGGAAATGAGTCTCTGCCCACTTTACCCACAGGGAAAATGAGCTCCAGAGAACTGAAGAGGCCTGTCCAGGTCATGAGCATGGCAAGGTTAGGAGTGAGGTCTGGGTCATTAAATTAAATCAAACCCCACTCCCCTTTTCCCTCTTTTTAGATGAATATATTTGTGATTTTTCCATCATAACTAGTGAGTGCCAGGGAAGCCACAGAGGCTTGAAATGCAAGCAGGTTCCCTTCCCAGTGTTAGCTGACCCTGCTTCTCACTCCCTATACTTTCGGTGGTGGCCTCACACTCTTTGTCAGCTGCTCCAGAAACAACCTAGCAGGGTGGCAGGGGACAAAGCCTGGAGCCAGACCCCCAGGGTGGAGTTCAGCTTCATGTCTAGCACTGCCGTCTCATTAGTGCTGGGACAGACACCTGCATCACAGCACAAAGTGTGGCACTGCCCAGCAGGGGTTCTGCGCCACGCAGCCAGGCCCTGCACTGCCACTGACAAGTTGTAGACACTTGAGAAATTGATCCACAGATCTGCAATGTGGATCTGCAATCCACAGATCTTCTTCATACAAGGGGCAGGTTGTTTTAAAGATAATAAAAATAATACAAAAATATACAAGTAACATGAAAAATGCCTAGGATGACAACTGGCACGTGGCGCTCAGTGGGACCCAGTAAGTGTCAGCTGCTGCCCCTCCCCCCCAAGGGTGGAAGAGTTGGCTTTCCACATAGAGAGCCCTGTCCCTTCCTCTTATTCCCAGGTACCTCACAGTAGGGTCTGACCGTAAGAAAGACACACACACCCCTCTCATGGGGTCCTGGGAAAATCCAAACATGGTTCCAGAAAGGGGCCCAACTTTTTTCTCCTATCCCCTCTCCCCAAAGAGTAACAGCTTTAAGATTCAGCATTACCACCTACTATACAACAAATGCTCGTTTCTGACAATAATGTGACAAACCGAACACAAACCCTGCCTTCCACAACAATCTAGTTGGGAAAGTCAGGCAAGGAAACCAGCACGCACGAAACAGCACACAGGCTTGCACCCCGAGCAGTCAACCTGAGGGAGTTAAGACCGCCGGGCAGATCAGGGGCTCTCCGTTCTGGGCGTGCATGGATGACTGACATCCAGCCCAGCAAATGGCGTGGGAAGTCCCACCCCGGATGTGGGTAGCATCAACCAATAGGCATCTAGCCTGGGTGGACTAAAATGGGAAAGAAAACATGTCCCAACTTGTACAGAGCTCCAGTCTGCACTGCCCTCTTAAAAACTGAGACTCCAGGTTCTGTCACTGGTGAGTCTTCTGGGAGCTTCCTGCCTTTGAAGGAACCACCTTGGGCCAAAGCTGCATCTTTGACCTTTCTTGTTCTGCGGCTCCCGTCCTGGACTGAGCAGCTGGTGGATCCTCCACTTACCAGAGCACAGACGGGCAGCGTGGACTCTGCCTTAGAACCTGTGAGCTGAGAAATCCCTGGCACAATCATGCATCATTCCCTGTGGATTCTGTTCCTCCAGAAAATCCCAACTCATGCAACATGTTTGGAATCACAGCACACCCTGGGTGCTCCAGGTAGAACACTGAGAGGAGGGGGCTCTGGCACCTCCACCACCACAGTGTTGCCATGGAAACCACTAGCCTTGTTTTTTGTCTCCTTCAGATGCACAAACCCAGGCAGCTGATAGCACCCACAGGCCATCACATGGCTGGGCACCACCTTACCCAAATTAGTGGATCCTTTCCCACGTTCGCTCTGACTTGTGGGCACAGAGGAGAAGCTCACGTTGTAGTTGGGCCGGTTCTGGGGTGAGGAGTGTGGCATGCTGGGCTGCGGCTTAGACTGTGACTGCTGCCAGCTGTAGCCGCCCCCTTGCTGCCACCCACTGCCCATGGGCTGGGGAGACGCTTTCTGTGGCGAGCTGAGAGGTGGGAATCCTCCACCCAGGCCAGTTGGTGTGGTGGGCTTGCTGGCAAAGGAAGAGCTGCCTGAGGAAAACAAGGGAGAAAGACACCGTTACAGTTTCGATTTAAAATGTCCCCAAGTCTCACGTGCTTGGAAGATGGCTGATCATGGACACTTCACTGACCAGCAGATTCATGCATGGATGTGTTCATGATGACTGTGCTGGGGCCTGGCCAGAGGCAGCCACAGGATGTGACCTAGAGGGTACATTCTTGTCCCTGGCTCTTCCTTCTCTCTCTGCTCCTGGCCAGTGGCAGGTGAGTGGCTCTTCTCCACCATGCCCTCCATCATGCTGTTTTTGCCTTAGAGCCACAAGCCATGGACTGGGCCCACAGAAACCTTGAGCCAAATAATCCTCTCCTCTTTTAAATTGCAGGCGTCCAGTATTTTGTTCCACTGTGGGAAATTGACTAATGTAAAAGGCTTTTTTGAGCAGCCTCTAACATTTGTACCTCACGGTACTACTCACAGTCACCTTAGTGGAACCCTTCACCCATAGCGTAACTGCCCATCCTGCCCGTCCTAATACATAAAGAGACTGCAGATGTAGTGACTTTATTTCCAGCGACTTTTTTTTTTGGTCTGTGTTCATGGCCTCATATTTTCATCAGATGAACAAACAGCCACTCCAGAAGTGATTTTCTCAGAGTCACACAGCCAGCACACACCAGCACCAGGACTTGAATCCAACTTCTGAATCCCTATCAGAAGAGCTGTGGCTCCTCCCACCACGCCACTCCCCCAACCCTCACCTTCCCTAGAGTGGAACCTACCACAGGACCAGGGCAGGAACTGAAACCAGCGATCAGGGCTGGTCACACTTTTGGGAAATGGAAGAGGCCGAGGCTCAGAAAGGTTACTGACAGGCTGGGGATCCGCACTGGTTAAGGGAGCGTAACCTGGCAGAAGAATCCTGCCTCCTTTCCCCACCTCCTCCCCAGTGAGCCTGTGCTTCACTGCCATTCACACTCATCTTCACTGCCTCCCTCTGCCAGCGCCACTGCCTCTCTGTTGTGCTTCTGGGCTTCTCTCTGGCTCCCCAGTGGGAAGGTCGTCTTCTGGCCACCGGACTTGTGCCAAAGCCTCAACTCTCACATTCCTTCACCACACATTCTTTTTTCCTCCATCCATCCATCCATCCATCCATTCACCAGGGTTTGTTGAGGGCCTACCATGTGCTGGGCCCTGGGAACATACATAAAACATTCTTTCAGAGCTTGAGCCTCAGTTTCCTGACATGTGAAATGAAATCCATGTGCATTTCACCACCATATTGTAAAGACACAGCATCTAGAATATTTAAAGAACTGTTAGCCAGGTGTGGGGAGGCTGAAGCAGGAGGATGGTTGCAAGTTCGAGACCAGTCTGGGCTACAAAGTGAGCTCAAGTCCAGCCTGGACTACATAGCAAGAGCCTGTCTCAAAAGACCAAAAAAAAAAAAAAAAAAAAAAAAAAAAAAAAATGAGTATGCAGGGACACAGATTCCTCTTCCCTGTCAGTCCATTAACAGTCTCTGCTGATTTCTGCTATCGACCATCAGATGGCTCTCTGGCCATTACTGAGTTCAGACATCACCTTGCCACCTACTGACCTCGGACAGCCAGCCCCTCCTGTCCTAGCACCTGTCCCGTTCTCACAGGTCCCCTGTGACAAATCCAGGGCCACCTCTCTAAAACTTGGAGCTCACTGTTGCCTCCATCTGCACTAAGACTCAACTACAGACCAGCTCAGAAGCCTCGCCCAGCTGGGGGCTCCTTTCCCTGACCTCAGCCTAACTTTGTCACAGGTCTTGACCTCAAAGCCACCTCTGCAGCCTTTGTCCCCAGACTCTGGCTCCAGTGACCTCAGAGCCTATGCCCGTCTTCAGCCTGCCAACTCCTTTCAGATAGATGCAGTTGCTTTGCAACAGAGAAGTCACCTTGGAGCTGTGGACACTAAGGGCATTTGGACAGTTAGATGTGAATCTCTATGGGAGAGCCCCATTGCCTGTGTTTAGCTCAGAATTAGCTCACATAGGAAGAAGTTGAGGAGGATTCTGCCCCCAGTACTTTCTGAATTGTAGCCCTCATGTTTTCCTTTCTCTCTTTTTGAAATAGGGTCTTACTATGCAGTTCAGGCTGGCCTTAAGCTCACTTTGTAGCCCAGGGTAGTCTCAAACTCACAATGATCCTCCTCCCTCAGCCTCCCAAGTGCTGGGATTACAGGTGCAGCCCTAAAATTTGAAGGTTTAAGGTTTAAGTTTTACTCTTCAAGAACTTGCCTGCAAGTAAAAGATTCTGGTTGGTTGCTCTCACTCATACCCCTGGTGCCTTGTGTGGCTTTAGGAAAATCATTTAATTTTTTTTTTCAAAACTGCATTTAAAAGGTAGAGCAATTGGGCCAGGAATTTAGCTCAGTGGCATAAGCAATCCTTGGTACCAAAAAAAAAAAAAAAAAAGAAAAAGTGGAGAAATTTAGGGAACTGATTTCCTTGGAAGACAGTTGTAAGAATTACCGAATTTCCAGAACGGAAAGAAAGCATCCACTGCCTTATATTAATCAGCTGGGGTGGGGAGCACAGAGCTCTCAGAGCTGACCACTTGTAGGTGGCCCTACATTTCAGCTCTGTGACGAACCTTACCATCACACGCTCTGGAAGCCCCAGGTCTATTCCTGCTCAGACCCAAAGCAGGTTGCTGGAGGAAGGCAGGAAGAGCTGTTCCCCCCAGCCCACTGCGTGATGCCACCTTTAAGGAGCCAGTCTCCATTCTGAGCATACAGCTTAAGACAGGGCACTGCTCTGGGTCCCGGGGACCCACCCCAATTTGTCGTGACAGCGAGATCTCAATTTGAGGCACCACAACCTGGACACTTATTTATTTCTTAACCTGTGGCATTTGTACCTAGCGTCCCAAGGTCGGCGAAAGGGTCCAGGGTCTGGGGCTTGGTCTGGTGGGTTGGGGTGCCGTGCGAAGATCCTGTCGGGCTGGTGGCAGCTGATTTGCTCCCCATTCCAAAGCCTCCTGAAAAGGAAAGAACGCCACGAAGAGTCAGTGAGTTGTCCAGAGCTGGATTCTGAAATCCTGAATCTCACAGTCACTGCCACAGCAAATCAGAACAGGGCCGAATGCATCAGAGGTACCCAAGCCTTTTCTCTGACTTGGGGGTTCAGGACCAAGGGCAGGGGAGGACAGCGAGCTGGGCGACCAGCATGGCGCACACACCCCGAGCTTCTCCTCTCCAGCTTCGTCTTTCTGTATGGGATTTGGAGCCCAGCCCCAAACCTACCACGGGGCTCTGCCACCTCCTGGGTCACATTAACATCTTTGAGCGTCCACATCTTATCTTCGTCTTTTAAGGGAAATTATACAAAACCAAAGTCACAAGCAACAAAAGCAAGAAGCAGACAAACAGGACCTCATCAAACTAAAAAACTTCTGCCCAGCAAGCGAAGCAGTCAGCGGAGTAAAAAAAAAAAAGCTATGAAAAGGGAAAATACTTCCAGTCACAGCTAACAAGGTGCTAATATAAGGATGTACCAAGAGCTCCCACAATTCAGAGCCTATTAGCCCAATCACACTCAAAAGTGAAATAAATCAAACTCACATTGGTAAACATCGTATTGTCTCCCCAGGGTCAAAACAATGAAAAATGGAAACGGTAATAAGATCCAGAATGTACAACAGATACTGTGATAATGAAAGGGAAAGAAAGTGCTCAGAAGGAAAGAACAACTGGGATAGGGGAAAGGAGAGAAGGAAGAAGGGAAAAGATTCTCCGTGTCTAGGTGTACATGTATGTGTGTATACAAGATAGAGAACTATACTACTAATTTCTGTTAGTTTATCAAAAAAGACAGTTTGTGCTTTCATTGTGTGATCAGTTTTTTATGCCTAGATCCTGTAATCTGAGCAACTGCTTCTAAGATAACAATATGCAATATTGTTTCCTGTTTTTTAAAATTCTGTATCATTTCTTTGATTTTTAAAATAAAAAAAAAATAGTCAAAGCTCTTAACAGACATCAAATGGCATCAAAATTCTCATTATCACTAATTACTACAAAAATGCAAATCAGAACAACAATACCACCCCACTACTGTTAGGATGACCATTATTAAAAAAGGAAAACAAAAACCGGGTATGGTGGCCCTCACCTGTAATCCCAGCACTCAGGACTGCTGCGAGTTCAAGGCCAGCCGGGACTGTACAGCAAGGCCGTGTATCAAAAAACCCCAAACAAAAAACAAACAAAACCAGACAATAGCAAGTGTTGGTGAAGCTGTGAAGAAATCAGAAGCTGAGTTCACTCCTGGGGGAACTGAGAGCAGGGCCTCAAACACACCAGTGTCGGAGGTGGCATCAGAGGACAGGCGGGAGGGAAAGCAAACGGAGTCTCTCTCACCAGAGGGAGCCAGAGAAGCTCACACACATGTGCGATAGAACATTACACAGCCTTTAAAAGAAAATTCTCTCATGTGCTTCCACACAGATGAAGCCGGGCCACGGCCACAGAGACCGACGTGGTGAGAGTCCACCGGACCCAGTCAGTGTCAGTCACAGAAACAAGAATGAAATAAAACCCACACAAAGTGCAGAGCTGCTGGTGGGCACAGAGGTGCAGTGGTGCATCCTGGGGCGGCCAGTTCTGGGGCCCCTTGGACAACAACGGGCACGGGTGACAGCGTGTACCACGGGCTGGGACACTGAGGGGAGGGCACATGTTACATAATAGTTTCTTTTTTTCTAGCCCCAATAAAAACTACAACTGCTGCAGAAAGCTGTGAGAAGTACCATCTGGGTGCACGCTTGTGTGTGTGTGTGTGTGTGTGTGTGTGTGTGTGTGTGTGTGTACGTGTGTGTGCACTGCATGAGTAGCAACAAGGGCACAGTCACCCAAGCCATATCTCAGGAAATGCCACAGTAGCCACGAGAAGGAGAACTTCCGTAGGACAAAGAAATGCAGCCCTGGAACACATACTTTGTGAAGGAAACCAGTACTGGGATCCAGCTCCCACTCCAGGCCAGAGACGGCCACCCAAGCCATTTCACTTAAATGTAGGAAACCACAGGATAAGAATTAGGCTCCCTGCTTTGCAGCGGAGATTACGGCAGCTCAGACACAGAAAAAAATCCAAGCATCTCTATGTGGCAGAGCCAAGAGTCAGATTTTATCATTAAGACACACATTCGGCTAATGACACTCGGGAAAGTTAAATGACACAGTAAGTAGTGACGTGACACAGGACTGCGGCACCAAAGGCACTGGGAAATGCGGTTAGGACAGATGGCTGCATCTCCCCACCTGGATGGTCCCAGGCCTCTGTCGGCGCTCAGTGCCTGTGGGGTGGGGGTTACGTGGTTCAGTGAGTCCCAAGCATGACCCGTGCATGTTACCTGGCTTAGTGTGCCAGTCCCAGGCTCCAGAGACATCCGGCTGGATGTTCACGGCAGGGGTGCTGGAGGCTGCAGGCGGGGAGAAGGCAAAGGATAAAATGCAGATCGCTGTGAACCCACCTCCCCGAGGTCACACAGGATCCAGCCACCCCTCTTCCGGACCCGCAAAGCCTCCAGGGTCCCTGGGTAGCCCTTCCTCACCCCAGCTTCCCCACGCTCCCTGGCATGGACATTTCTGCCCCGGACCACAGCTCCCCACATGAGATTGGGTGGGAGCCACACAGAGCTGGGGTCTGCTCCTTCCCAGCTGGTCCCTGTTCTGACTCCACATTCCCCCTGGGAACCACAGCCATGCCTGTGTCTGTCTCCATGAAACGGTGAGTTCCTGGGGGGTAAGAACTGTTTCTGTGTTCCCTAACTCTATGCTTAACACAGTGGACCATCAGAAAAAAGGGAGGGATCCCCTTCAGTTTGCCTTAGCTTAGCATTACAAGAGCCCTGCAGCGTGACCCACTTAGCACTGATATTTTAATTTTTCTTCTGCTGAGACAGGAATGGAGAATTCTGAGTCATTCACAACACGTACAGGGTCGTGATGACATACCACCCACAATGCTGGTGACAGGGATGTGCCTATTGTCACCCGAAAGAAGCCCATCACAGCTCCAGAATAGATCACTCTGACCCCTCTCAAACTTACAAACCTAGAATTTGAAAATGTTCCACTAAAAGAAAGAATTCCTTTTTAAGGCACCTCCAGGTTTTACCCATAGAAATCAGCAAGCAAAATACAAATACTAAACTAACATTGCAACTGGGACTGAAATCACAAACATGCATACACACACACACACACACACACACACACACACACACACACACCCGAGAATGACTTAGACACCAGCATTAGCAGTCCTGGGTTCACTGGGATCTGTGTGTTTCTTTAGGACCAAGCCTCCTGCAGCTCCCTGTTGTTACCTTAAAAGCATGCGCTGTTATCAGTAACAAGGACCTTCCTCCCTACTCCTCCTTTCTCTTTTTCCACAGCAACCCATCAAAGTAGACAGATTTGCTAACGTTTTCCACCCAATTTCCTTTAAGCTTTGATCTTGGCCCAATGTCCACTAAGACATAAAATGAAGCATCAGGACTTTGACCTTCTTACTATGGAATCAAACCCATCCTTACTATATATGCAGGGCACTGTACCAGTGATCAGGGACCTAGAGATGCACCCACTACATATAAAATGTAAGATCTGTCAGGAACATAGAAGTACATGAAAAACAATATACGAATATATAATGATCACACAAATGCATGAAATGAACGAACATAGGAATGTGTTCACATTCACATATGAAGAGGAATATACAGTAAGCTCCCTAACATTTAAACCTCTATTTTACCTTCTACGATGGGTGGTGGGTTACTTTCGCTTCCAATTCCACCACCACCCAGGAGATGGCTCCTCCAAGTAAGAGGTCAGTGTGCACTCCTGACTGTGTGAACACTACCGCTTTCCATGCAGCCTGCGTCTCTACCGTGGAGGACCCATAATGTGGACCACACGGGTCACTTTACAGAAAGGTCTGAGGACGCCTTCCAGATCACCACGGGGTGCACCTCCAGGCCACCCCACTACTGACCTCCCATGCCGAGCAGAGTCGTACTGTTACACTGTATAAAGAGGACATGACTGCCTCTTTATAGGCATCACTCTCCCTGAAAGGAGAGTGGGAGATTCTCCCTGTTCACTAGCATGGTGCAGACAAAAATGACCAACATAGCTGCAAAGCAAAAGCGAGCTGGATTACATGGAATGGAAGGTGGCGTGCTCCTACCCGCTGACAAAAATCAGGCCCCGGGCCGTGGTGGGAATATCCACATCCTGGGGACCTCAAACGTGGTATTCTTCCCAAACAACAGCTCCTGAGTACTCACACTGGGAAAAGGTGTCACTTTAGAGGCACTAACACCATGCACCAAAGAAACTCTGACAGGAAAAAAGCCAAGTTAGCACACTTCACATATATGTACCAGGAAGAAAATGAAGCAGTCCCTAGGGTGTGCGCAGTGTTTGTGTCAGGGTAATAGGAATGCGTTCGTGAACGAAGCAGACAGAAATCCCTGCCTTGGCGGAACTCCTGATCTAGTGAGGAAAGAATAAATAAAAATAAACACAATGCAAAGGAAAGTACTGCTCGTGCAGAGAGTTAATACCTACGCCCCACCTGGAGGGCTGCACCAGGCAAAGACTCAAAGCAGGGGAGGGAGGGAGCCTTGCGGATGCCTCGGGAAAAGCACAGAGCAGAAGAAAGAGAGCCGACATTAGAGCGGGCAGCAGGCGGAGAAGTGGGCAGTGGAGTCACAGGCAGGGTCTATGCAGGCCACTGCGAGGACCGGGCTCTTGAGCCCAGTGAAGTTGGAGCCGTCTTGAGGAGTGAATGACTTAGGTGTAAACCGGTACACAAAGTATCAGCTTTAACCTACACCTGCATCTTTCCTTCCACAGGCGCCCAGCAACCGACCAGGAGACTCTCCTAAGTGGGCCCTGCTCCAGTGGACTCCCTTCATATAGTGTAAGATTGAACAGCGGTTGGAAACTGCAGAGCATAGTTTGCTCCTGGAGTGATTTCTCTTTTTTGGCCAACCCGGGAGCAAAGCTCAGCTTCCTTCTGCATTGGCCTGGCTCATGTGAAGCCCAGCAGACAAGTGGACCGCATTCTTGGGTGAGGGAAGGCACCTTTGCCACATGATGCCTCTGGACCGAGGCCAGTGATGTCCAACATGGCCAGCATCAGAAGGAACCCCAACATGGCTAAACAGCATCTGTCCTGCACTGCCCAGTACAGCTGGGGTCCGGATGTCCCCAAATCCTCACGTGGTCATAGCTGGGGCTTCTTCAGAGATGGCTGGATCTAGAGTGTGTGATGCTGGGATTGAGGGTCTGTGGTTACTAAATCAGTCCACTGACTGGCTTGGCACAGTTCTGGGTGGGATCAAGAGTGCCTCATTCTGGGTATGAGTGCCACCCTCCCTAGGGGCAGGGCAGATATAAAGGACAGAAGGACAGAAGGAGGGTTCCTGCTTTCCTGTCACCTGTCGCTTGCTGCTTGCTTGCTGGTATGCTTTTGCTGCTTTCTGCCTGCCCCAAACTGCTTCTCCTCTGTATGCCACCCAGCTGACTACGGACTGAGCCTCCACAAACTGTGAGCCCTCCCTTAACTTTGGGTGTCAGGTATTTTGTCTCAGCAACAAGAAAACTAAGACACTGCTGAGTCCCGGTTTAATCAGTGTAACCAAGCAACACGCTTTGCACTTACACATGGTTGTGATGACTACCACTGCCCCCGCCCCCTGAGTCTCTGCCATGGAACCACAATGCAGACCACATAAGTCATTTTATGTCACTGAAAATTCTCTCATGGCCACACTATAAAACACAAAATGGTAGCAGTGCAAGTAATTTTGTAAATTTTATAAAATGTATTTTATAAAGCCATGTATGGTGTTGCATACCTGCAATCCCAGCATTTGGAGGCTGAGACAGAAGGATCATTGCAAGTTCGAGACCAGCCTGGGCTACAAAGTGAGCCCAAGGCCAGCTTGAACTGTATAATGAACCCCTATCTCAAAAAAAATGAAAAAAAGGGGCTGAGGATTTAGCTCAGCAGCATAAGCGCCTGCCTTGTAAGCAGGCAGTCATGAGTTCAATCCCCGGTACCAATAAAAAGGAAAAAGACCAAAAAAAAAGACGAAAAAAATGTTTTTTTATTTAATAATGTAATTCAAATATTTTAATAAATGGTCAGTATAAAATATGAACAAGGTATTTCATTGTTTTGTCACACACTATGTTTTAAAATCTGGTAAGCATCTTATGTGTGGAGACATCTCAAATGTCAGTCCAGCCACAAAGCAAGTGTCCCCAGACACGCATGGCTCATGGCATCACAGTGGACAGAGCAGCTCCACACCAGAGCAGCAAAGCCCAAACATTGCTCTGCAGACACTAATGTTGTAGAACGCTGATATCATATTTTTCAACAATTCAAAGATTCCATCAACCAAAATGTGTCTTCAGATAATTAAAAGTGACAGTATAGTGGGTTTTTCTTTTCTATTGGTTCACTAGAAAAACGATGTGCCCTCCAGTGAGTGGTGTGCTTTATGCTTCTGTGAATGCAGCTCTAATATGAAAAAGGACTCCACAGTCAAACAAAGTCTAGGAGGCTGAGAATCAAACAGGTTGCTTTCTTCTAAGACACCCCATAGCTCTCAACCTGTTCCTGAAATTGTTCATTTCCAAAAGAGAAACCCAATGTGTACCTCCTCGAAAGAAGTCACCCACGGGATGCATTTCCGTCTGAGCAAGTCCCGACACTTTGCAGAGAACTATGTTTCCCAAGACAACTAGAAACATCTCTCACCATGCACAGTGGGCGAAGGACTCCGCGTGGGCTGAAGGAAGGGATCGCTGGAAGCACCGGGCGTGCTCAGGAAGGAGCCCAGCAAGTCTTGGCTCGCTGGCTTAGGAGGGGCTCCAAATGGGTCAAAGGCAGCACCTAGAAAACAATGGAGAAAATGTGTTGTTTTGTCGTATATGTTTGATTATTCTATAAATATGGAATTGTTGTCATCATTGCCTGGCCCTAGACCAAATGCTCGAAAATTCATGATACAGCAACATAAGTACCTGCCTGGCAAGCACAAGGTCCTGAGTTCAATGTCCAGTACGGGGGGGGGGGGGGAGAAAGAGAGAAAGAAAGAAAGAGAAAGAAAGAAAGAAAGAAAGAAAGAAAGAAAGAAAGAAAGAAAGAAAAGAAAAGAAAAGAAAAGAAAGTCACAACACTAACAGCCTCCTAGCCCACTTCGCAGGCCCCTAATACCCTTCAGGCTTCCTCCAGGCTAACAATGGGTCCCAAGGGTTTCTGACCACATGAGGACAGTCCACTCTCACAGATGAAGAGGGAGCCTGGAGTTATTTATCTGCTGGATAAACCAAGAAGACTACAAATAGAGGCTCTGGCCCTTAAGACTCCAATAACATGAAATCAGTCAATCAGGGTCATAGACTGGCTGAGACGCAGACAGGTCCACGCGAGGAACCCACGGTCACATCTCTGCATGGACCCTACGAGGTGTCCCACACCTGCAGCCTGCCTCGGTCCAACGCTCGTGATGAACAAAGGCTCACACTAAAAGAAGCCTCCGCTGTTGGGGTGAGCAGCAGAAAACCAAACTGACCGGGTTTGTTTGGTTTGCTTTTCAGGGGTCTCTGGCTTACTGGACAGTTACAAAGGGAGTAAAATGAAAGTAAGAGAAGTAAAACGGAACCCTCACCACATCTTCTGCCTTATGAAAGTCAAACACTTCTAAGCGTAGCCTCTCCGTGACGGGCTAGAAACCAGACACAGACTTGGCGCAGCATGAGAGGGTTTATAAATGGCTAAGACCGAAGACAGCGGGAAGCTAAGGTCACCAGCGGAGCACGCCACCCCACTACTCGTCCTTTCCTGGGCAAACCCCGTCTTCCAGGAAGGAGCCCCAGCTGAGCCTGACTCCCCGTCAGACAGAATGGGACCTTCATTCTCTAGACGAAGAAACAGAGGCTCAATAGCATTTTCTCACTCCAAGTCAAGAAAACAATTGGCTGGAACGAAGCTCCAGTCTTCTGAAATTCGGAGACTCTCTGCAGAGCGGCCTGCATTTCTCACCTTCAGGAACTGAGTGTGCAGAGTAGTAAGATCCAAAATGTGCAACAATGTTGTAATATGGAAAGGGAAGGAAAGTGCTCTGAGGGGTGTAACTGTGCGTATGTTTAAGTGTGCAAGACAGAACCACACCGCTAAGGTTTTGTTAGTGCAGAATGGGTTGCACTGTCATTGTTTGTTTACTTTTTAGGCTTTGATCTTGTAACGTGAACAACTTCTAAGATAACAATATGTAATTTTTCAACGAGTCATATCTTACTGTTTTATTTTTTGAAATTCTCTATTATTTTAGCCTTTTTTCTGTTTTGCTTTTTTTCTCTAAGTAAAAATAAAAAGTAACACTAAAAAAAAAAAAAAAAAACAAAGAAACTGAGTGTGATAAAAATAAGGGAACTTATTTTTAAGCACATGAAGCTAACGGGCCTTCAGTTTCTCCTGACTGGGTGCAGAGTAAAATCATCTTTCACTCCCCACGAGGAGCATCACAAGTATCAAGCAGTGGCTGTGTGCTTCAGAGAACAGGAAATGAGGAGAAAACAGCTCACAAAGCGGGGTCCCCCACCCTGGGATGCAGGAGGGACGCGCGGCCCACTAAGGTGGCACCAGGGCTGCAGTGTCACCGCAAAGCTGGTGACCTTGGTCCAGGCCCCTCGCTAGCCACGCAGACCCTCAGCTCACTTAGTCCTTGGGAAACCTCAGCCTTGCTAAAAGGCGAAAACACAGAGACTCCCGGATTGGCGCAAGAGGACAACGGGTCAGACCCTCTGCATCGCGGTTGGAGCTGGCTGGTGGGAGACACTAAGATCACACCAATACCTGTGAGCTTCTGTCCCACCTTCCCAGTGACAAACACTGAGACGCTGACCAATATAGACAAGAGCTCAAAATGTACCATGACCCCAGCAAGTGTCACCCACCTCCCAACTACCAAGATGAAGGCTTTTTAGTAAGACCAGCCAGAGAGCTGCGCTGGTCCTGAGACTCGAACTCAGGCCTTTAACTCCGGACGTGGTGTCCTGCCTTCTTTGTGAGCTGCATTCCCAGGCCAGTTGCTCATCAGCTGAGTATGCTCGAATAAATCAGCCAGCAATTCAAGGCCCGGGCGTCCCTGTCTCTAAACTGAGACCTGGAGTCGGTTGCCATCTGAGGCCCCACCCACTCAAGCACTGGACCACATCCCCTGCCATCAGGGGATGACAGTTAAGTCCACAGAGACACATAGGGTGCTCTGTCTTGCATCCAGGGGATGTATTTTCCTGACCGAGGTATTAACCTCTCTGATGAATAGGAAGCAACTGCAGAAGAGATGGCCATGCACTAGGGATCAGCACTGCAAGGCCCCTACTCTGACACCCATCCTCCACGGAATCCCCAAACCAAGACTGGCCCAGAGGCTTCTGAGACAGGAAGGTAGAGCTTGGGAAGAGTTCCTGGGGTCTACAAGCTGTCCCTGCTCTCTCACTAACAGGAAGTCATGTGACAGTCACAGAGCCGAGGGGTTCACTCAGAGGCAAAGACCAGAGAGGAAAGAAACCAACGGGCCGCCATGAGGCACCAATGCTCCGCTCCCTCAGCCATGGGGTGGCAGCAAGGCTCTGTCTGCACTGCAATTCTGCAAGCCACTGCAGGAAACAGAAGGGACGGCCCAGAGTTCAGGGGCTGAATTTCTGACCCCAACGTCATGGATTTCCAGCTGCACAAACTTATTCTATTAACTCAGATCTAATTTTCCATTTCCTCAGCTATAAAATAGCAGCACATATACACTGGTTTTCTGTTTTTGTTTGTACCAGGGATCAAACTCACAGCCTTGCACTTGCCAGGCAGGTACAGCTGAGCCACTATGTACAGGGTTTTCATAAGAACTAAGTCAGGCTCTGTGTTACATTTACCATCTGGCAAATGCCAAGTACCCTTCAAATATCAGTTGATAACTTTAATACTAACTCATCCATCTACATGTCCAAGCAGAGGTCCCTAAAGCAGCTCAGATCTTAACAGCCTAAAGAAAGAACCTTAGCAGAGAGAAGGGGAAATTCGGATGCTCGCTCCTGCACTCTCCTGGCAAAGTGGACATGAGGCTCATTTCCTCTTGTGCTCCATCTAGGGGGCCAGGAGAGGCCGGCTCTGGGCCCCGCATCACCGTTCAGATCCCAGCTGAGTTACCTTCTCCCACACGCAGGGTTGGCGAAGCAGAGCTGGAGGTGGGGGCACGGCGAGGTGTGGACTGCGTGGATGCTGCCCCACTGGGGTGGAACACGTCCTCCACCCTGGTCTGTCCTGCTGGGGCTACACCAGTGTCCCCAAACAGGTCGCTGAGCAGTTCCGTGTTGGTGGGGGGAGGTGCTGGCGGAGAGAAGTTCTGGCCTACGTCGGACCCCTCGAGGCCTAGCAGGTCCACCTCCTCCGGGGCCGGGGCCACCTCGGGCTCCTGCTGCCTCTTGCTGGGCTTTGTGGGCCCGTGGTGCCTGTCACCATTGGCACCACTGTGCGGGCTGGACAGGGTCAGGAGCTCGTCATCCGACTGCTCGCTCTCCTGGTTCACCAGAGCGGCGTGGTCGTCCTCACAAGGTCTCTCCGGTTTCTGATCTAGGGAAGGCCAGCAGGGGGTTAGCAGCTGACCACGGACAGCCAGGGTTTCTTTTTTTTTTTTGTCTTTTTGAGACAGGGTCTCACTATGCAGTTTAGGCTGCCTTGAGCTCACTTTGTAGCCCAGGCTGGTCTTGCACTCAGAACAATCCTCCTGCCTCAGTCTCCCAAGCACTGGGATGACAGGTGTGTACCCCATATCCAGCTGAAACAGTGTTTTGTTTGTTTATTTGGATACAAAGAATCAAACTCAGGACCTTGTATCTGCCAGGCCGGTGATTATGCTGCTGAGCTAAATCCCTGGCCCCAGCTAGGTTTTCTGACACAGAGCATACCTCATTCCAGAAAGAGGGGAGGATCTGGCCCCCACACACCCCACCCCACCCCCTCCCAGTGGAACCCAGATAGTACTCTTTCTGTTCAATCTCCAGGTGCTGGGCCAGGGCTCCATGGGAGGGTGATAGAGGGGCAGAGAGCAGGAGCTCGGGGGTCAGGCAGTTTGAACTGACCCCCAACCCCACCTCTCACTGGCTGTCCCCATCTGCTCTGAGCATGGGTTTCCTCCTCAGCAAAACAGGGATTGTGCATAGGCCACAGCCACCCACTTCTCAGAGCCACGGTAGGCAGCCCGAGAGGGGATCACAGTTTCCCTGGTTCCGCAGCAGAGGGCCATCCCACATTCGCTGCAAAGCGGGTGTGGCCGTATTTATAGTCCACTGGGTTCTGCCCAAGTGCCCCACTGCAGAAACAGCGAGAGCCTCGATAGAGCCTGTGGTCCAGGCATCCACGGGGATGCCAAGGAATCAGGTTCAGATCAGAGGCTGGGCCCCTTCTGAGCCAACAGAATTTACTTCTGATTTACAACTAAAAGGATGACAGAAAAGTAAGCGTGAAGTGTTAGGAAGCCTTCCAGGAAGATAGATGAGAACCAAAATCAGAAGTTGTGGCATACGCCTGTCATCCCAGCACTCAGGAGGCTGAGGCAGGAGGGTCGCCACAAGTTTGAGGCCAGCCTGGGCTACACAGGTGTGCTCAAGGCCAGTCTGAACTACACAGTGAGACCGTCTCAAAAAAAAAAAAAAAAAAAAAAAAAAAAAAAAAAAAAAAACATGTGGAGAACCTAACCAGGATGCCAGCAGTCTCAAGTAACTTCTCCAACAGGATTCTGAAAATACGCCCAAGTCCTGGAGAAACAAGAAAGTGCTAGAGCCCAATTTCTGCTGACACTTGGGAGAGTGAGCAGCAGAGACACAGTCCAGTTTGCCTTCCGGAGAGAGGTTAAAGCTCAAGAAATGTTCGACTCTGTATTTTCAGGATTTTCCACTAAAGACAAGAAACAGAGACTTTGCTAATCTACTCACATGGAGCCGTCAGCCCAGGACAGATGTGGCCAGCCCCGGCACCAGGAGAGAAGGCGCAAGCGGCTGGCCTGAGATGATCGTTTGCTCCTGAGGAGCTAAGAGTGGGGAAGTTGCCCGATTTGAAAGGGTGTGAACCGAGGAGGACGGAAGGTGCTTGGCCTCTGACTGCTGCTTTAACTGAGGCTCCTGCCGGGGCGCAGGGCTTTCTCGAAGGCCCGTGTACCCTACCTCCATCTCCCACCCCCACCCCGCACCACAGAACGCAGAGGAATGCTCCAGGTTACCTTGCCAACAGAGAGACGAGAAGAAGCCGCCCTGCCCAGGATGCCGGGGGTTGTCGGGAGGCACATCCACTGGAGCCTGTCCTGCAGGACACAGACCGGGGCACCGTGAGACATGGGGAATAAGGTCACACCGCAAACCCGCAGAGGCCATGCCCCGCAAGACTAAGCCACAGGGGGCTGCTACCTCCTAAGGCCAGGGTGTCCTGGTGCTCCTGGTGGGAAGAGAAGAGGGTGCTGGGGTTCACATCCTTCGAGCAGTAATGCTCCCAGGGCGGGGTCAAGTCTGCCGCCTTGTCGTGGGGCTGGAGCTCCACGTCCAGGGTCACTTGGAACAGCTGGGGATACTTTTCTGGTACATCGCACGCGTCTAGCTCGGGCCTGGACGGGATTTAAACAGAGAAGACTGGTGAGAATTCAGGGGGGCAGTAGGAGACAGAGCATAGAACTATCGTAGGCAGGCTGGGGGGCACAGTCCAGGGAGGACCCAGGGCCAGACCAAGCGCAATGCTACAGGCACTGCTTTATTCTTCCATGCCTCTGTTTCCTCACCTACAGAAACTACAGAGAAGAAGGCCCACCTACAGACTACGAGAAGAAGCTGACCTGCCCGGGGTGCCGGGGGTGCCGGGAGGCATGTCCCTGTCAGAAACACCAGCACGCCCCAGATGCGAAGGGTCAAAGCCCCATCTCTGCTCCTCCACCCTCGGGCCTTCTCACAGAATTTCAGGCCTTCCGAGTTGAAGCCTCTGATCCACTCATGTTCCTCAGCTGAACGTTCTGAAAGTGCCCAGCCTCTCGGACCAGGGAGGCAACACCAAGGGCCCGGCAGCCCAGGGGACACTGCAGGGGGACCCCACAGAGGCCCAGCATGTCACAGCTTCCCGGATGGACACAGACTTCCGGCCCAGGCAGGACTTACTTGGTGAACTTTAAGACGGTGGTGTCCGGGGGGATGAATCCGGAGTGGAACTGGAGCTGGAAGATCTGCGTGTTGGTCACCTGGGAACACGCGGGGAGCTGGTCAGCAGTCTTGTTCCCTCCAGGGAGCCGCCGTGAGTCCTCAACCGTACCTGCAGCCGAAGCCACGCTCCGTGGGGACGTTAACCCCACTGCCGGCCTCCTGTCCAGGGCCTCCTTCTGGGGGCTTGGCCTGGGCAAGGCGTCCCTGCTGCCTGTGCCCCACCGCACCCTCGTACACCACCAAGCCTGACCCTCTGCTGTCTCCTTCCGGGGCCGCCCTGCTCCCACCCAGTGAGCTCGTCCTTCAAGGCCACCTTGGGACGGCAGGCACCGTCCGTGGCCTCACCAGGCTCCCACTACGGCACCCACCCTCCCTTGGGGCACTGCCGTTGGTCTGGTGCTGGCATCAGTTTCTGCCCATCCCTTCTGAGCCCCTGGACCACTGGTGGAGCGGGCACTTAGCAGACACTTGGGTCACTACAGCAGAACTGCAGCACCACTCCTGACAGCCAACGAGCAGCCAGCACCCCGAGAATTGTCACAGACCGGGAGATCAACAAACTGGGGCCCAGGGACAATGGGTTACTTCATGGCTCTGTACAGGAATGGAAGCCTGGTATCTGCGGACCCTAGATAAGCCTCAAAAATATGGCATGAAGTAGAACTCGGAAAAAGCCGTTCACATACATGGCTCCATGTATGTGAAATGCCCAAAATAAGCAAACCCATGGGGACTGGCAGAGATCTGTGGCTACCAGGGGATGGTGAAGGGGAGACAGACATGGATACTGGGCTCTCAAGGGGGATAAGATGTCCTAGAACTCAGTGTTATCATGCTTTACAAATTATTAATATACTTAGAAAATACTGCATTGTATACTTTGTATTTATTTATCTATGTCTTTTCGAGGCAGGATCTTACTATGCAGTTCAGGCTGTCCTTGAACTCACAATGTAGTCCCGGATGCTCTCCAGCTCTCAGCAACCCTCCTGCCTCAGCCTCCCAAGTGTTGGGATGACAGATGTGTGCTACCACACCCAGCTACACTGCACACTTTTAAAGGGTGATTTATATATAATATGAATGTAATCCTAATTTAAAAATTGAAAAAACAATTTTCATTCCACCTTCTCAGCTGGAATCACCCTCCTTTACACAGATGCAAAGGGAAAACTCTACATGAGGCCTAGCATTTGGAAACATGGTTTGTCGGAAGATCTAGAGCTGCCCCCCTCAGACAAGGTACTGCGACAAGGACCACAGGGAGGTCACAACTCCTTCTACCCTGGGTCCCCTCCTGTCCATAGGAAGACAGAAACAGCCCTTGGAGGCCCATCAAAACCCGCTGGTCACTGGAGCTCAACGCAACCCAGGGAAGGACCCAGCAGCATTTCCTCAGGAAGCTCCAGAGAGGGCTGGGTGGCAGAGCATCTGCCAACCACACGCCAGGTCCTGGGTTCAAGTTGCAGCAGCCACCAACCCACCAATCTACCAGTCCCAGAGGAGCTGGGGCTGCCATCGATCCAAAGCTCACCTTGGCCTGCAGCCGGCTCCCAATGGTGGACCTCAGGTGGTACAGGGAGATGACCACATCTCCCTGCACCGTGATGTCCAAGGGGATGAAGATCTTCCCATCCTGGATGCGGTATTCCCTGACAGATGGAAACACAGGTAAAACGCATGCGTGTGGTGCGATCACGCAGACTCGAGCTCCGCCTCGGCAGTGGAACCTGCCACCAGACCAACAGGGACCCCGCCTGCCCTACACAACCACATGGGTGCCTGGCCACTGTCCTTGTCACCGCCTCGCCACTGTCTAGACCCTGGGCTGCGTGGCTGGCCCACCCTGCTCTTTCTGCCTTTTCCTAATCTTAAATTAATCCTGAGACCAGAGATCAAAGGAGCTCAAAATCCAGGTGGGGTTGGAGTAGAAAAGAAACCAGTCTCTGTGAGAGGCTCGGTTTTGAATCCCCAAAATCACTCTGGTCCCAACACACATGGTACACATGGCCCGAAGGTCCAGGGCCTCTGTGCATCCCACCCCTCCTGCCTTAACACTCTCTGGGACCCATGCTGAGCCCTCACCTCCAGCACCCTCTGCAGCAGCCAGGAGCACAGTCCCCTCTAGGTTCCCATCTCTAGAACCACTAGTCAGGGCCCAATTTGTGTTTTTTGAGACAGGGTCTCTACACAGGCTAGCCTTGAACTCACTATGGAGTCCAGGCTGGCCTCAAATTCTTGGGAGATCCTCCTGCCTCAGCCTCCCAAGTCCTAGATCACAGGTGTGAATCACCACATTCAGCTTTTCAAAAAATTTTTTTAGTGAACCACTTCATAGTGGTATGAGAAATACAACCCATTTAGGTAGGAATTAAGAGGTCTGAGGGACAGTGCAGAGAGAGTTTGGGACTCACTTCATCCGTTCAAAGTCTGTGCAGGTAGAATATATTTTGGTTTCCCCGATCAGCACGTCGCAGTAAGGGCGACACCCGTTTCTCTGTTTGTTGAAGAAGGGCACGGGGCTGACGGTGACGGACTTGACAGTGAGGGGTTTGAAGTGGGGGCGGTAGGGCCTGTCTGCGAGGAGGTCGCACATGTAGCCCAGGTACCTGGAACAGACAACACCGTTCTGCTGGGCCAGCGCACGGGGAGCAGGCCACCTCCGCCAGCAGAGTCTGTGCAGGCCACTCAGCAGCTGGAGCAGAAAACCCGCACGACTCACTTCTCAGACCCCAACAGTGGTGAGAACAGAGCCAAGTCCAGGTGCAGCCTCGCTTTCCCGAAAGCTGCGGTGGGGGACCCCTTAAACCGAAAGCTCGGGCATCAGTGCCCTGGCCACCTGGCATCTACACTCCCACTGTGTCGGGCAGTAAGTTTATCAGCTGAAGGCTGACTCTGGGGAACACTTAAACTGGATCATTAGAAGTACTTCTGATGCAAGAGTAAAAAGATGTGATTTAGATTTTACTGGGAAAAAATTTATGAACAAAGGCAGGAAAAATAAATTAGCAATCTAACCCACTTTCCTGTTTCAAGATTCTTTTGGGATTATGTTTTATAATCTATTTCCTTTTCCCTATGTGTCAGTCATAAGAAAGAAGCGAGTTTTCCGTTTCCGTATCGCTGCATCTGGCATGTCCTCTTGCTGTCCAGTCTCCCACACACCAGCGCCCAGGAGGAAGTACAGTGGGCAGCGCCTGCTGGGTGATAAAAACCTAAAGGGTGACAGAGCCTCGGGGCTGGTCTCGAGCTGGGCCCCGGACAGTGTGTTCCGGCTGTGTCTGCAGGGCAAGTTACGACCTGCCGCGGTCTACCTTTCTCACCTATGAGGTAGGGGAAGTGGATGTGTTCCTTGGGTTTTCTGAGACAGAATTGCTGTGCAGCCCAGGCTGGCCTTGAACTCAGCCTGTAGTTCAGGGTGCCCTCAAACTTACAGTGATCCTCCTGTCTCAGCTTCCCAAGTGCCGAGATTACAGGCATGCATCTCCATGCCTGGCTTGACTAAGTATTCTTCAAAGTGTTTTCTAATTTTAAAATCACAAACTCTCACGTGGACACTTTGGGAAACTGAAAAAAAAAATCAATATCCTAATCCAATTCTGCTTCTCCCATAGTACAGAGTAATGCCAGATAAACTAAAAGAAGGCTACAAAAGCCCGAGGAGGTGGGTTTCAAACCGTCCTAGGGTCCCCAGGCCGCCCTGTGCCCGCTCTACCTCCTATGGGATGGCGACAGTCCGATTCCCGGCCGCTTCGCATATAGCAGCTGGATGGCTGGGCCGGGGGAAGAGTAGAGATTGCAGAAGATGAACATAGCACCGATCAGAATCGATGAGGCGGCCCGGCCGTCCTGCGGGAGAGACAGGGGAACCGTCAGGAACAGAGGTGCGGAGGGGAAGGGGTGCAGGGCAAAGGGAAACTGAGGCAGAGCCTCTGCAATGGGGAGGGGGCTGAGAGATGGGGGGACAGAAGTGAAAAAGGATTGAGGAGGTGAGGAACACGCACGACTGTCCCTGACGCATCTCATTATTACACAGCACGCACACGCGCACCAGGGACGATGGAAGCACCAGGAGCACCATGGGGTACAGCAGAAGAGAGTGGGGGAGCCCAGAGAAAGAGAGAAAGGGGGAATCCTCCTGAGTTTCCACTTCAGCACAGTTCATCTGAAAGCCAAAACCTGCGCCAGCTCTGTAAGCCACAGAGCAGCAAAGGAAGGTGCTCTCTCAGGACAAACCGGGTTCCACACAAACCCAAGAAGCCCCACAGTATAAATCTGACTTGTATATATTTACTAGAAAAGACCAACCTTCAAAGTAAGATTGCTTTGTAGTATCATAACTAATCAGAGGGTGGTGTTAGTTTAGGGCTAACAGTAAAAAAATCCATAGGTGAGGAAGTTCTGCTTGCTAGAATGTGTTACAGATAAGGTACCATCAGCACAGTAGATGTTTAAATAAATGTTTTAAAATCTATCACAGTAAAGGACACACTGCCATTAATCTGCCTTAAAATCCTCCCCCTCGCCCAGAGCACACTCCTCCCACCGTCCCGCCACTTCCCACAGCAGCTCTGGGGTCCCCCTTCCTGAGGGTCTTGAGGTGCACTGTCCTGGATGACGGCATGTCCTGATTAAACTCAAAACACTTTTGGCTATTTTTATCCAATAAAAACATGATGGTTTGTCCTCACCCACCTCAGTCACCTGGCACCGTGTGACTTCCGGCTCCTCCCAAGGTCAGAATGACCAGGAAAGGGAAGCATCTAGAATTTGTTCAGGACATGGAGGCAGCCAGGACAGTACAGCTAGAGACCCTCAGGAGAGAGCTCTCCAGAGCCGCTGCAGGACCTGGCAAGGCAGACCATGTGTGTGTGGAGCCAGGGGGAGGATTTGAGCAGGATTCATGGCAGTACGTTTTTACTGCCTTAATGTTCATGTAGTTTTTGATCAGACCTTGTTTGTATTTTACTCAAAGTGCATACTTACATTAATACAAAATGTGAAAATTTAACCTGATACAACCACTCTTAAAGTAGTAACAAGTCTCACGGTCTGTGTGTGTGTCCCCCAAGTTCACAGGTCAGCATAAAGTTATCAGGAAGCTGAGACGTAAGGAGGTGGTCAGGTCGTGGAGGTGGAGCCATACGAATGAGGTGTGTCCCTGAAGCAAAGGGCCCGTCCTCCTTCCTGCCTCCTTCTCTCCCTCTCCGCTGCCCCCCTGCTACCCTGGCTGCACGCTGGATCCACAGACACCCTGGCGCTGGACGTCCAGCCTCCACCACCAGGACAAACAAATCCCTCCAGTTTCAGGGGTCGAGGGCTGCTGCAGCCCGGCTGAGACCCAGCCTCTTCCAGTGTGGGGACAGGGACGATGCCCACCCCGAGGAGCCGCTCGGCCATGGAGTGCTTCTTCCACTGTGCAGCTGGATTTGAGTCTCTCCCTCCAAACCCTCTACTCCTTTTACCACGAGAAAGAACAACTTCTCTCTCCCCGCTACGGCCCCTTGCATATCTGAGAGGCTCTATTGTCCACCGAGGCCTCTCCCATAGGAAAGCCAAGCCGATTCCTTGACCCCTTGGACCTCTCTGACCTCCCAGTCTCAGGACAGCATCGCTTCACAGGTGCCTTCCGAGCAGATCTGGCCAAACCAGAGAAGGATCCCCTGCTTCCTGCAAGTGCTGCTTTGACCAAACCAGTGCCAGGCAGGCCAAGCTCACACAGGTCCCCGTCTCCACCTACACCCCTGGTTCTGTCTTAATATCATAGAAAAATACTCGCAATCTTTTAGAACCAGCATTCAGAGCTGTCCATTTACCCCGTCTTTAACTACACATGGTCAATTTCTGCTGAATAACTGAACTGCCAGGATGTTTTAAGCTTAGGTTTATCATCTGGCCAAAACTTCCTGTTCTGAGAAAACCAATGTGCGTGACTTCCACATTTCCTCAAAGCTGTCAATCCAGAAAGCAGCCATGCAAAACCTCCCTTGTGGGTGATAGAAGCTGAGCCCTGAGCTTCCCTCCGGGGTTCTAAGAACTGGGGGGATCCCACACAGGAGTCCAGCAAGCGACCTTAGCTCTCCCACCTGATGGTGGTGTCAGTGAGCCTGTGCAGACTCTTTCTCCTGAGAGTTTAAAATTATTTGAGCACAAATTGATGAGAATTTAGCTTTGACGCACCAGCTACTGGTACACCGGCCTGTACCTTCCCGGCCCGACATCCTCATCCTTGGGGACCCTCCTTCCTGCACCTGCCTGGGGGGAGGACTCCACAGTGCTTTCCTGCGTGTTTCCGAGGCCGTGTCACCTGAGCATGGGCTGATGTTAAGTACTATGTGTGCTATCGCCTTAGCTCTGCCCCTCCCTTCCAGCCTGACATCTGCGCCCCTGCCTGAAGAAATGGGATGAGCTGTTAGGATGATGATGCCTTGCAAACTTACGGTCCTTCTGAACACAGAAAGGAAAAAAAAGGACAACTTTCTCAACTTTCACTGTCCTTAGGCTTTTGTTTCCTTGGCCCACGGCTCAGATGCAAGTGGTCTCCTTTTTTTTTTTTTTCAACTAAAAAGCCTGGCCTCTGCTTATTATTTTACATAAGTGTGATGCTTAGAGGATCACACGCAACCCAAGTCCCAGCCTGGACACAGATTGCCAAGCACCCAGGTCCTCGGCCGGGAGCTGCGCTCTGCCGCCAGCCCCTCTCGGCTGACCTGGTGTCTCCAGATCCCGTCCCTAGAGCAGCCAGTCTCTCCTGAGTCATCACACGGTTAACATACCCAGGCTCCGGGCTTTTATAGCAAAGCTCTGAGGGAAAATCACAGAAGGCGTCTTAGTCCTTAAAAACGTGCTTTCCTGCCCTGAGAGCGACCGTGCCCATGACAGAAGGCCTGGGGATTCAGCATGAAAGTCTCCCCAACACCAAGTGCCTTCAGGACAGGAGTCCGGGAACTTAAGTAGACAAGAAAACAACAGGATTCTACTCCCTGTGTTTTACCCAGCCGCTCTCCAGGAGGGGAATCACCTCAGAACAGCACTGCAAAACACAGGCTCTGCGGCTTTGAGGAGCAGTGACTCATGCCCGGTTCGCAGGCTCGGCTTCCACCGAGGCACCCTTTGCTCATGGACTTGGTCACTCACTCAAACCTTCCTGCCTGGTTGAGCAAAAGGTACTGTTCGTCCTGCAAGACACCAGCCTAGCAGACAGACAGGAGGCCCAAGGCAGGACGCAGTGAAGTCAGGGCCATGGAGGACACTTAGTTGTGTGCTGGAAATGCCGTGTTGGGAACAGACTCGGGTCCTGCAGATTTCACCCAAAGCTGAGCTTAAAGTGGGGGGAGGGGACCGAGAAGGGTCAGAGAAAAGGACTCTGTGACAGCAGGAGCGACAGCCCTCAGTCCCACTGGGAACTGCGCCAAAAGCCAGGCCGCTGTGCCACTGCTTATAAGTATGCATGTGTCTCTTTCCCTCCTTTTTATCCAAACATTAGTGTAAGAGGAGTAAACAGGTCACTGTGTTTATACCAAACGCATCCACGAAAAACTCAGCGCATCATTCCTCGGGCTCCCACAGTTCTTGCTTCTGCCTCTTTTATAATACTCAGCGCATGTAGGGGTGCACATCTCACCTCGGCTGTGGCCCCAAAAGCTCCCCTCATGTCTCCCTCCTTCAAATCTCCTGACTCCCAAGCAGGGGCTCAGGAAATGCTATGAACGCAAATGTTTCCACCTGCCCACCAGCACAGAGCCGTGCCCCCACCCGAGAGGACAGGCCACTCACCAGGCAGTGGACCACACAGACGTTTTTGGGGTTCTGTAGCAGCCAGTTGTACATATTCCGACACACCGCAAAGAGGTTGTGCAGACTGGGGGCCTGCCTGAGGGGCCAGCTGCACTCTGACACCTAAGGGACACAAAGCAAAGACAGTGAGTCCTCCTGTGACCCCACATCTTGGCCTCCCTGACTCACAGCCACGCAGAGCAGGGACCGGGTCCCAGTGCAGAGGGAAAAGGTGTTCAGTGCGGCAATTTTTAAAATTAAACGATTTTGTTTCAGTCAAGGTGTTCCATTTGTCATCAGGGGTTGTGAGAACAATCAGAATCACAGAATTTATAATATTATTTATGATGGTCACCCAGAATTAAAACACAGAAAGTGCAGGAAATCTGCCCACAACACTAAAGACCCAGAATATTCAGCCAAGGGCCTGAATCCCACAGCAATGCCCTGTATGAGTCCAGATGAAAACCCAGAGCCCACGACAATGCCTCCCATGAGTCCAACTGGAGGTCTAGAGCCCATGAGAAGGACTCAGGCCAGTCTGTTTTATGGATCTGTGCTGGGAAGGCCCAAAGGTCAGCAGTGGAAGCCAGAAAGTCTATGCCAGTGGGGTGAAGGAACTATGCTGGTAGGTTGAGGGTTCTACCCTGGAGCCGAGAAGTCACACTCACAACAAGACCAGGGCTGCCCTGAAAAGCATCACAGTCATCCTCAGCAACATGGAGGCCCCGAGCTCCTCTGACAATAAAAACAGTTGAGTACATGCCAGGAAGTTTGTCCTGGAGGTTAAATGGCATATGTCTTCCCCTCTGGAGCCAGGAAGCAATGCTCAATGCAAGGACCAGAGCTCCCCCAAAGTGAACTATAGCCACTCTCATCAACAAGGTCCCGAGCTCCTCCGATGACAGTGGTTGAACTCACACTGGGGAAGCCAGCATGACGAGCTTCTCCAGGAGAACCAGCAGCTCAAAAGTAACACTTAGAGAAACCCATAACGCCTAGCTCTCCTTCTCCATGTCTCCATTTTGCTGGCAATTTCCCTCATGTAGAACAGCTACACTCAGCACCGTGCTGATCTAATTCAGCTGGTGTTAAACTGACCACCAGGTTTTAATTCATAACACAAGGTGTACATTTAGAAAAGTATTTTAATTTAAACAACCGCTTTTTGCCAGCTGTGGTGGTGCACACCTGTAATACTAGCACTCGGGAGACTGAGGCAGGAGGATCATTGTGAGTTCAAGACCAGCCTAGGCAATGAAGTAAACTCAAAGCCGACCCAACTGCATGGCGAGACCCAGTCTCAAAAAAATAAAAAATAAAAAATAGACCATTTTTACTACATGTTTGTTTTCTATCCTTGGATGGCATCAAATTGAATCTCTACTAAATAAAATGTTTCTGCCTCCTACCAGCTGCTTAACTACAGGGTTAGTGTAGAACCTGCATGGCCCCTAATTTTATCTCAGCTCTTGAATAACACAGAAAGCCCTGCAGCTTGAGCCAGCGCTGGACTCACGCATGGGTCTCTTTCTGCTCTCTGAATAAACGGCCCGGCCCTCCACAGCGAAACCGTTCACATCTTCGGGCACCAAACTTTCCTGCCTCATTAGCGTGGGACCTGCTACCCCAGCGATGGTGCCTCACCTGCTCCGTGCAGTGGTCAGCTAAGGGGGGTGTGGCTGGACCCCACCTGGAAACGAGGAAACCGAGTCCCAGGCTGTTCCATCCAAATCAGAAACCTCAGTACCTGGGCCACACCCTGGAGGAGTCGCCACCTGCCCTAGAACTGGGCGTGCGCCCTGACCAGGAGATGGTCACTCATCCAGCTGGTAAACCAGGGGCACGGGCCGGTGCCAGGAATTCCAAGGCGTCCTGACGCCTTTCCTCCTTCATGACTTTGGCACAGGGCATGGGACCAGGCACCTCTCAGGGCTCCTGCAGGAGAATGGGCTCTCAGGGTCTGATGAGTGCAAACTGACAGACAGATCTGATTTATTATTATTGTCGATGTTGCAAAGCTGATAATTGACTGAATCACACAGGAAGTGATCTGTCTTAATGAGACCCAAACGCAGTCCTAGATGTGATCTGTAAAACACAAACCCGTGTCATGCTCCTCAACTGTCAAGGACCTTTTCTTTCAGGTTAACTTATCCTATGACTGTGGGGAGGCCGCAGAGGACTCCCCAGGTGACACCTCTGTGTGCCCGTGGCAATAAGGGGTGTGGTTTATTAAACACAGCACTGGAAATGCTCAACAAGGCTCTTGGACAAGCAGGCAATCAAGATCAGGCCTGCTAATTTTTGGGGTGTGCAGTGCCGGGGATTGAACTCACGACCTTGTACTTCCCAGGCAAGTGCTTGTGCTGCTGAGCTAAATCCCCGGTCGCTGGGCCTGTTGACTTAAACCCTATCAAGGCGTGCCTGGGGACTGGAAGGGATTACTGACTGGAAGGTGTGAACACTGGGAAGTCAGTTTTGCCATCAGAATTACAAAGCCTGCATGGCTGTGAGCTGCTTCTCCTCTGCCTCATCCGATGGGGAGCTGCCTGTTTCTGGGTTAGGAGATGCATTGATCACAGGACGCCTACTCCCCGGAAGACTAACACATAGCCAAATGTTCTGGGAGAAGCCAGAGAACTCATATACTTGGTAAACTTCTACTGATCCTTCAAAACCCAAGATCAAGTGTCGTTTTATCTCTGATGGTTTCTCTAACATCCACGATGAAGGAAAACACTTCATCATCATTTCTCCTTTCATCTTTTACAGCTTTTATCCATAGGGCAACAAGTTTCAGGCCACGGCTGGGTTTTCATGCTGGATTTACCACTTATGCCTGTGCTCTCTTCGCCAGGTCTCAGATCTCTGGTGTGTAAAGTGTAAGTGAGTGGCCCAAAGCTGTTGTGAGAATTAAGGAGCCCAGCGAGTACACAGAAGCGCTGGTTTACTGCCAGGCTATACTGAGTATGTGGTTCTACTCTCCACATGGAAACTGAGTTCCCAGAGAAGAGAAAAGCTAACCTGCCATTGTTAGAGCCTCAGTGCCCACTCCTCACACATGTGACAAATGTTAGGCAGGGGTTTGCTGAGAGACTGACTGAGTGAAAGAATAAAGGATGACTAAAGCAAAGCAGGAGGATCTCCATGAGTTCAAGGCCAGCCTGGGCTACAGAGTGAGTTCAAGGCTAGCCTGGACTACCTAGCAAGACTCTGTCTTTTTTTTTTTTTTTTTTTTTTTTTTTAACTCTTTATCGGTACCGGGGATCGAACTCACGACCGCCTGCTTACAAGGCAGGTGCTTATGCCGCTGAGCTAAATCCCCAGCCCCGCAAGACTCTGTCTTAAAAAACAAAAAAGAATAAAGGAATGGTCCCTGTGTGGCAATCTCTCTTTTACAGTAAGATTTCTCTACAATGTAATATCTTGAAGGAGTTTCTGGGGTTTTCAGAATACAACAAAGTAAACATGCAGGAAATGTTTTCCCTGGCAAAACTCCAAAGGTTTTTAACGCAGTCTGCTTCTCAGCCATGCTCTATGTCGATAGCTACACCGGGTCTCAGCCAAAAGTTGGCTCAATTATTCTCAACACGATAGGCTAACAGCTCCAGAACTGTTAAATTAATCAAGTAAATAATATTAATTTAAAGTTCTCCATAATTATATGTTTACTTGATACGTAATTACACACCACCAGAAAAACACATCATTAGAATTTTTTAAAGTATGTGCTCCGACTGGGGGCGGAGAAGCACCACAGCACCAACAGAACCCCAAAATTGTTTTAAGGAACCCCGTCAGAGAGGGCTCTCCTGCAGCCTTGGGCTCCCCATCCCTGGGATCCCAGCCCTGGCTACCGCCCCAGTGTCCACGCCTCTCAGGAGTCACCATGTCCACCAGGAGACCATGGTGAGCCCTGGTGGGGAAAGAGGTTGTGACACGGGCAGGCCTGGGTGCCTGTCACTTCCCTCCTTCACCCAGCACGCGGCAGCACAGGTCCAGTAGGCGCTGCGGCCATGAGACCCCCATACCATCACAGGTCCCCCCACAACGCGGAGGGACATGGATCCATCACCGCCAGCTCTCTCTGCGGCCCCAGTGCCTGACCAACACTAATCACAGCTGCTGTGACAACCCCACCTTTAGCAGGGAAGAGACACCTCCGTCACCCCCTCCTGTCACTCCGGCCACTCTTTCAGGCCCAGCTGCTGTCCCCCTGCATGGACCCCTTCTGCTCCTTCAGGCCTCTGGCCTGTCTCCACAGTGAGGCGTCCAGGGATTTCCTTCCCATCTGCAGGGCCTCACCATTCTTGGTACACACCCTCCCTCAGGAAATGGAGTCAGCCATGCAGGGCACCGTTCTGTGAGGGAACCATGCCAGGCACCACCTGGAAGAAGCCAGCTCCCTGCTCCCCTGCCGCTCGGGAGACCGCCAGGCAGAGGCTCCTGGGTGATGCCTGGCTCCTCCGGGAAGGAGTCACAGTCCCAAAGCTCCAGCTCACTAACGCACATCTCGTTCAGAGACAGCTTTGTAGAGACGACCCTGTGCATCGGCAGCCACGCCAGATCTTCCTTCCTTCTCAGACCAAAGTGTGCCAGGCTGCATGAACCCTGGAGCAGAGCGCTCCCTGTGCAGCAGGATATAGGACGCCCTGTGAAAACCACGGGGCCGGGCTGAAATTTAGCTCCGCGGCCCAGGTGCTTGCCTGCTAAGTGCCAGGTTGTGAGTTCAGTCCCCAATACCAAAAACAAAAATGATGCAGCATCAACTGAGGAATGGATGGAAAAGATGTGGCACAGTTTACACAATGGAGAACTACTCAGCCACAAAAAAGGAAAAACTGGAGACTTTTGTAGGTTAATGGATGCAACTTGAGACCTCCTCATTAGTGAAATAAATCAGACTCACGTGTGTAAACACTGTATTGTTTTACATGTTCATCAGTGCCTTGCATAGAGCCCCCCACAGCCATAGTGGGGCGACACCTCGGAGCTGTGGGAAAGGCATTCTCAGCCCTCGCCTCCTGCCTCTCCCGGAGCAGAAGTCTGTGCCTCATGAGGCCTTCAGGGCTTCCGATGCCACCAAAGTTTGCACCCCCTTCTACAAATTTGCAAAAAGCAGTTAGCAAAACACTCCGCATCTTACTGGAAACCAGAGCGAATGGGAAGGGGTCCTCGAGCAGGAATGGACCTTCTCATGTGTCTCATGGATGTGAAAGTTAAAGTCCAGGATGTGCCAAGAGCATTTGGAATTTAGAGCAAGACGCACTCCGGCCTCCATGTGGGGTCCTGGGTGTCCCACACTGGCAGCCGGGCATCGACCCGCCACGTGAAGGCCAGGCCCACTTAAACGACCATCCCTGGACAGCCCTTTCTCTCTGCTAACAGACACACTGCAAGTTCTCAGCTAAGCCACAAGTATTTAAAGATGTTCTCAAGAGAGGAAAAAGCCGTCCCACCTCTTTTTCAAGAGAGTAGGTCAAGAAGTCAGGGGAGAACCACCAGGCTCAGCACCAGAGGCCGGCACCCACGGCTCCGCCACCAGCCGGACCTGGGACTGTCTCCACCTAGTCCAAGGCTCTTCTAAAGAGATCCAGCTTTGCCAAGTCACACTGTCAGGTCAGGGTCACGGTTAAGCACTCAAGCCTTACGCTACCTGCTGGTTACGAGTTCTGGGGTGAGTCACCTAATTGAATCTCTTTGTGCCTCAGTTTCTCCACTGCATCACAGGAGTGTGGAACAGACCCGACACTGTCCGTGAAGTTCTCAGAGGAGCACACTGCTGCATAGACATAGTCTGCTGCCCTTAGTATTAGCACCATTGGTATCAAGAGATTACGTGACCAAGTCCACAGCGTGAGCTCACACCACTTCTACGCTACCCTGCTCTTGGAGAAGAGACTCCGGACCCTGAACTTTCTACAGTATCGCTGCATCTGCACTGCTTCGGCCAAAATGCCTCCCCAGAAGCCTGAGAAGTCACACAGAAGGTGAGAAACATACTTCCCATCCCAGCGCAGGATGGTAAAGCCAGCTGGCCGGGGCCACGGGTCAGTCTCTAAGCTGACCTAGAGAGGCCATATGCCAGGAGCCACCAGTCACTGAGCGACGGGAGACCCCAGCTCAGCAACACCTCAGTCAGAAAGTCACTTTCCTACCGACACCCGATGTCCTCACCCAGATCTCCCCAGCGCCCCTCACAGCCCGACAAGGACTGCGTGGACAGGCCAGGCTGGACCGTGCAGGCCTCAGCCTCCTGCATCCACTGGCAGAGGCTTTGAGGACATCTCATAAGAGGAAAAGACCCTCTGAAGTCCTCACGGCGGGGTCTCAGAGCTAAACCCCTTACCCGGCTGTGAAACTTGGCCGTTCGGTAGGACTTGGGTGACAGATTGTAGACCGTGTAGTGGTCGAGATGTCTGGAATCCAGAAAGCCCCGGATGTCGTCCACCTGATTCCTGAACCCTATGTCCACTGTGTCCATGGGAAAGGACATCACTGGAAGAGAAGACACAGGTGAGGCAGGTCTGCTGGGTCCTCAAGTGGCCTGCAGAAACTGGGTCACAGGGCAACTCCTGATGGGGGGACACTTACCAATAATTCTGGAGGTGACATAAGTGAAGTCTAAATCTCCCTTTGTGTAGCTGCGAGAGAGACAGGAAAGGACACTCATTAGGATGGCCCAGTGCCTGGGATTTCTGCTCAGTCACTAGCCCCGCTGCCCGGCAGGCCCCTCTCAGCGACCCTGAAAGAGGATGCTCGCACCCAAGGACACAGCTGTCCTGCTCCAACCCACACTCCCTCCTGATGCTGCTTCTCACACGGCCGGCTCAGAGTGGGATCTCCGCTAAGTGACCCACACTGGCTGTCCCAGCTCTGCCCACTGGGAATTCTCTTCCCTAGCGGGCAGGAGAAAACAACTGAGAAAAACCAAACAGCACTCCTGCTCTGCCTGCCGAGGGTGCTGGTTGGGACCTGTAGGGGGGTAAATGCTGCCTGAAGCCAATGTGAAGACCTGGGTTAATATACTGGACTTGGGGGCCGGGCTCAGAGGCCCAGCACCTGCCTGGCAAGCACGAGGTCCTGAGTTCCATTCCCAGTATCCCCAAAAATATACTAGACTTGACCTTTGAATTTCTAATTCAAAACCATATATTCAAACTTAGAGTAACCTTAGAATTTTGTCATGCCTAGGAATAAAAAGAATTCACATCATTTTTTGTGAGAATTTGCATATAGCAAAAGAGCAAAAAATTTTTTTAAAAAAGACTTCTCCCACTGAATGAGCAGTAGGATACAAACAGCTGTATTCTGAGGCCAGCCCCGGGTTCTGCGTATTCAGGGGGTGCCTGCATTATTATCTCAGTCCTCGGGCCACCCAGACCACTCCCACGGGGCAGAAAAGCCACTCAGAGACCTAGTGACCCACCTCAGGTCTCGGGAGAGCAGGCCTGGCTCCTGCCTCAGGCAGGACCCAGGACGTCTGGTTCCGAAGCTCTCAAACTCTGCAAACCGCAAGCTGTGTTCCCCCAGCCCGCTCAGGGGCAGCGAAAGCCCCTACCTATTGGGTCTCCAGCGGTTACACAGTGATGGTGGCACCGCCCTGAGCCATGCTCGGCCAGAAGCAAAGCCCTCAGCTGAGAGCCAGGTGCTCACCTGGACACAGACTGCATCACCCTGGAGGAGGTATCCTTCAGGGTGTCCTTCAAGTTGTCCTTCAGGTTGCTGAGCAGCCGCCCGGCACCTCCCTTCACCATGTCGAACAGGCCTCCCCCGTAGCTGGGCTCCATGTCTGGGGGCGAGGCACCTGTGGGGGACAGAGAGGGGCTGATGGCACGGGGATGCCCTGACAGACGGTGCTGGCGCCAGCCTTCGGGAACACAGGGGTCCTCAGGAACTCACAGCCCCCAGCTCCACTCGAGCCGCAGCCCTGTGTGGCCACCGGGCACCTGGAACACTTGGTGCCACAGTCACCCATGCTGGATGCCTCACAGTGCATTACAGTGCTCCCATCTCCTGCGGATGAGTCGAGCTTACCCTTCTTGAGGGCTGAGTAGTACCCCAAGCTCATCCCCCTTATCCATCCATGCATGGACGCAGAGGTCACTTCCAAGGCTAACTGTCCCAAATGCTGCTGCTCTAACACAGGTGTGCATGGACCCCTCTTTCAGGAAGACGTGGGCCCTCAGAGCATAGGACGCACCCACAGAGTGAAGAGACAACCAACAGGACAGAAGAACATGTTTACCGGGAGAATGTGTTTACCGGGTGCTCCTCGGACAGAGGACTGATCTTCAGAAAGTATAAAGAACCAAAAACACAAACAAACAAACCTCGACTCCCCAAAACAAAGGCTGGGTCCAAAAATGTGCAATGGGAGCAGACAGACACTTTGGGTAGAAAGGCACAGATGGCCCTTGGGCTCTTTCACAGTGGACACCAAAGGTCTTGTGGGACCCGTGTGGCCTGCAGCCTAGGACTGCACTGCCCCAGAGTTGGCCAACGGGAGCAGTCACAGCCCAGGGCCCGGGCCTTCCCTGCCCTCCAGGGGCACTGCCCACTGGCAGCCCTGATCCCCAACTGTTCTTCCCAGCCTTGGTCCACAGCCATCCCATGGGGCATCCTCCACATGGCAGCCCAAGGTGCCCCTGAGGTCTCTCACCAGCCCAGGGCTCCCCGTCCTGTGCAGCCTCGCAGGGTGACAGTGGCCCCTTGAGGTTGGGGCCCCTTGAGGCTGGGGACACTTGACCCTTGCACGGCCGGCACCAGCGGCCGAGCCCTTCTCCTCCTGCAGGGTGTAGGGTGTGCGGCGTTCCCAGCCACTCAGGCTCAGCCAGCATGTGCTGGCATCTGGAGACCTGTTCCCCACTGTACCATGTGATCCCCTGGTCACTAAGGACTGGGGGTCTCACTGGTGCTCACCAGCCAGGCGGCTACCTTTGAACCGGCACCCTGAGACACAGCCTCACCTCCCGGGACCGAGCCATTCACCACAGATCCGCACTGTGTATCTATCAGCAAACGAGGCTGTGGGAAATCACCAAGGAGCACAGGGGAGGCGGACGATCGAATGGACCAGCCCCACGACGCCCTCTGCTCACCTGGCTCCCTCTGCTCCTTGAGCCCTGCTCGGACCCTGACAACAGCACGGGATTTGTCACATGCCAGTCTTCATCATCCCCACGACACGGGTGTAGCGACACGGGAGGCTCGGAGACCAGAGGTGACACCTGTGCCATCCCGGCCACAGACAGGACAGCTGTGCTGGAAACCAGCTCTGGGCAGTCCTGACCCCGCCTGCAGCCCTCTGCAGCTAACCCACCAGCACCCAGCTAAGTCCCTGTGTCTGTCGGGGTGACCAAGCAAAATCACCGTGCAGGCGCCCTGGGCCTAGGCTGCCCCTCCGCATCCATAAAACGCTGGGAGCTGCTCTGGTGGGTGAGTCACAGCCCAGAGCCCACACTGCAGACACCAGAACCCCTCTTTTATGTCCCCTGTGAAAGTGGGCATAGCATCCCTCACACACACCTGCTGGAAGTCCCATCGCAGCGGTCACAGAGCAGCATAGATGTCCGTGCCTCCCCTTCCCCTGTGTCACCTGGGCCTCCTGAGGTCTCACCACTCTCAGGTGACACAGACTGGTCACCCCAGCAGTGCTCAGACCCCAACTGTATGTTGGCACAGGACTCGGAGGGGCCAGCCTGTGGATGGCACGGTATCCTCGTGACCAAAGATCAGACTCTCTGCTCCCCTGGGGCTCCAGGCTCAGCTCCTTCGGGCCTCAGGACACTGTGGGAACCAGAACTCGCCAGGGCCCATCTGTAACCCCCAGATGCCAAATGGATGTAACCCATGCCAAGGCACCAAAATGAGGACATTGTGTGACCTTGCTCTGATGGCTCTCTCAGGAGGTGTCTGGCTCTCCCCGCTGAGCTACCAGGTGTCCAGCACTGACACTCTGCAAAGGGCATCTGGGACAGCTGGTGTCTCGATGTCTCCAAAGCCTTACGAGGGCACAGAGCACACTGCAGAGGCGGCTGGATCTAGAGCATGTGGTGCTGGGTTCAAGGGTGCGTGATGACTCAGTCCGCTGATTGGTTTGGCATCATTGGGCTGGGATCTGTGGTGTGAGTGCTACACTGCCCTAGGGCAGGCAGCCTGCATAACACACAAGGGACAGAACAATAACTGAGACAATCCCTCAGCTCCTGCCAGCTGAGAAAGGGCAGAGAGAGAGAGAGAGAGAGAGAGAGAGAGAGGCTTTCAAAACACTCAGCAGGGGGCAACGAGGTGGGGAGAAGGTAACACGCAGAAGAAAACAAGACCGCAGAGACTAGGGCTAGAAGAACTGTGGTCCATGCATCCATCCATCCATCCACTCCACTGCCTGCCTCTTTACCGTCTGTGAAATAACAGTGGCTTTTGCATTTTTGAATGACTGAAAAAAAAGTCAGAAGAACAATGTTTCCTGACATGTGATAACTAAGTCAAAGTTCAGTGTCTGGAATTATCAGGGGTGCCACGGGGTGTAGCCGGGGGGTGCCACGGGGTGTAGCCAGGGGGTGCAGGGTTTGGCTGCCCTGGTTCGATCCCAGGTGCTGAAGGAGGAAGGGAAGGAGACAGGGAGGAAGGGGGAAAGAAAAGCTGTGCCTATGACAAAGGACAAGATGAAAAATGAAATGTAAAACATGCACAGGCAACCTCACTTTTTAAAAGAAAACTACTGGCACGTAGAAGAAGAATTCAGCTGCTGTGGTCAACCCAGAGCGGCCCCTAAACCCTACCCACCCAGTTCTGGGCATCAATCTAAACCCCTCCTCATCTTCACCACTGTTCAGGGACAACACTGTCAAGGGCCCTGCACAGAAAAGAGCATGCAGCACGGAGACCACGCGAGACCTCCCCGGGGCCACCCTGGGGAGCTAGACTCGGGCCGGCCAGGCCTGGTCTTTGCCAACTGACCCACATTGCTCCCCCGGAAAGCTGCTCCCCCAGGCCTGGCATTGGTGTGAACACGGGGGTCCCGCAGGATGGAAGGACAGGGCGCCCAGCCGGGCTGCAGGGGACAATCCAGCCCCGGGGACGTCAGTCTTCCCTGGCAGCTCCTCTGGGTCTACCGGTCTCCACAGAACTCGCCTTCCTCCTTCTGGAAGGTCCTGCCAGGCAGGACTGGGAGCTACCATCATCACCCCGGGAGTACAGGGCCCCTGCATCTGAGGCATGACCATAAGCGGGATTTTGGCTCAAGTCACGGTTACCGAAAGCGACTGAAATTTACAATGAAAGTTTAAGTTTTTAAAGCCTCATTACAGGAGGAGATCCACGCATCCCCCCAGCACCCCACCTTGCTCCGAGCCACTTCCTGCAGCAGCTCTGGAGTCCCCTTTCCAGGGTATCTTTCCAAGGTGTGATCAAAACTCCAGCGAACACCAATGCCCATCGACGTCCAGCAGAGAGGCACCCTAAAACCTCGATGCTGGTCCTACCTACCTTATTCACTGGATCTGACCCCATGCGACCCCTGGCTCCTCCCCAGAGTCAAAGTGACCATGAAAAGGAAGGTTGTCTGCTGGCCCAAGGCCTACTGCAGAGCTACTGTTCGGGTTCACGAAGATGGGGAAGTTGGCACCGACTCCTGAAACACCTGCCATAGCTGCATTTGGTTTGTTTTTGATCTTTGAGACAGGATCTGGCTACGCAGTGCAGCCTGGCCTTGAACTGTGCAGCCCAGGCCGGCCTCCAACTCCCAGCAATCCTCCTGCCTCAACCTCCCCAGTGTTGGGATTATAGGCGTGCACCACCGCACCATCTGTGTCATGTTACCTAACAGTTCTAATATAGGTGTGTATGAATTTGTTTGTTTATAGACTTTTATTATAACCTTATAGTAGTTATCACGCCAATTACGGCACGTTTTACTATCAGTCACTAGGGGAGCCATGCAGTCAGCATGGACGCTGCGTCTGCTGGCACCTTCCAGGCCCTCCAGGGAGCAGCACTGGACTGAATGCCTCCCCAGCTCCTGTCTACGCTCTGCAGCCATGGGAGAGTTACAAGCACAGAGCCTCTGAGAACGAGGAAACACAGAATGAATCAGACGACTCCCCAGGTTCCCTCATTCTGAGCTCTTCCACCCAGGCATCTGTGAGCAGCTGCTCCAGGAGGGGCACTTTCCTGAGCAGTTTCCCCCACATCCTAAGGGACCCTGGCACTGCCAGAGGGCTGCAGAGCTGGGGCGAAGCTCAGCAATGAGAGGACAGGACCCCAAACACCCAGCGAGCCTGCACCCGGGAATAGGGTGCCTCACTCTGCAAAAAGAGCCTCACTGAGCGGAAGACACACACTCAGCCAGAACGCCAGGGAGAGAGAAGAGTCGAGGGGTGGGAAGGGCTGAGTCAGAGGCCACGGCCAGCTGCTCTTTCCAAAGGGTCCACACTATGGGCAGGGGAAGGAACAATAAGAACAGAGGCCAGGCATGGCGGGACACACCTGAATCCCAGCGCTAAGAGGCGGAGGCAGGAAGATCAATAGGGGTTGGTCAGCCTGGGCTACCCAAAGAGACCCTGTCTAAAAAATAAAAAGAGCTGGGATACGGCTCGGTGGGAAGGTGGCAGGTTCCGTCCCCAGCCCTCGACACACACACAAAGTTCAATGGACAGCTTCTGTAACTGACCTGCAATCAACTGCATATCTGAACTGTAAAGGCTTTACAGATTTCAGCGTGTGTGGGCACACACATGTACGTAATCAGTCATCCTCACCGCATATCCGATCACCAATGTGTGACTCAGCACGGCCCTAGCTTCC